GAGACTAAGGTGCACCTGATCCAGGCCATAGTCTTCGCAATTGCTTGCTATGCTTCAGAGAGCTGGAAATGACTAGGGATGATAGGTGAACTGATGCCTTTGAGCTTTGGTGCTGGAGAAGAGTACCATGGACAGCTAGAACAAACAGGTTTGTCCTGGAGAGGCTAACACCAGGCTGCTCCTCGGAGGCAAGGATTCTGAGGCTTCATCTGACATACTTTGGGCATGTTGCAAGGAGGGACCAGTCCCTGGAGAGGGACATCATGCTTGGGAGGGTGAAGGGACAGTGCAGGAGAGGAAGACCCTCGATGAGATGGATTGATTCAATGATTGGGGTAACGGGAGTGTGTGTCAGAGATAATAAAGATTGGCACAGGATAGAGCAGGGTTCAGAGTTGTTGTACATAAAGTCACTATGAGTCACAGGCAGCTCGATGGCACATAACAACAACAATAATAATTTTAAGAAAAAGAGATTGCTGTAGAAATGGCATCCCAGCATCTCCAGCCTGGCACATTCCACAGCACAGTGAGCGATCTCTGTTATGACTGAGGCCCGACTACAAGTGCTCAAGGCTTAACCACATTACTACCCTGCTGGCTGCATTTCCAATGTAAATTTGTCAAAGTGGAACAAAAAACAAAACGCAAAGAACTCATAATAATCACATTTTATCGTGAATAGGAGCCTAGCAAAGAAGATATCTCAAGATTCTCATATCTGCAAATAAATAAGTTCATTTTTTTTATAAAAAGACAAAACATTTACTAGGTAGTATTTACAGCTCAGTACACATTTTCAATTCAAATAAACATGACAAGATCTTACATGGCAATGTCCCAATAGGTTTTTCAGCTCACCTTCCTGATGAAATGACTTCAATATAAAGCAGATGCTTCAATACATTCCATCTGGGGCACATGTCAGATAAAACTTGATCAAACGTCTTGAACGTCGACATTTTAAACTCTTCTGGCAATTGCCTGGGCAGACATCCTAAAGAAGACTGAGCAAAGTGCTGTAACTAGGTGCCAATCAGTGGACCCCAACTCCTAGTGACCTGTGCATGCCAGGGCAAAACTGTGCTCCACTGGGGTCTTTTTTTAACTGAATATATGCCAACTTAATCATGGATCCCTAGTAATTCTTTTTAAAATTTATTGGTGTGTGTGTGTGTACCATAAAATCAGATCTGACTGATACAGGAGGAGACTGTCCCTCCTTTTCCAGCAGAGCATCTGGTGGATTCAAACTGAGCACCTCTGGAATTGCAGTGCAGCTTTTTTGTCACTAGACCACCAGAGCTCGCAGATCCCTAGTAATTCTAATGGTAATTTTATACCAGTACCTTGTCAGGCCTTTCATAGAAGACACCTGTGTATGGACTTAAACCTCTAAGCTTTTGGTTAGAAACAAAGTATGCTAACCATCTGCACCACCCAGGAGCTCCAAATGAGAGTACTTCAAATAATGTGCAGAGAATGGTGAGAGCTTTCAAAACAGTGGTGATGAACTAAATATGAAGCCCACACCAAAAAGACCTCATGCGGGGACATCAAATAAAGACCAAAAGTTAAGAAAAAAAAAAGTGTAAAGAAATCCCTGAGGCAGCAGCTGGTCTGTCTAGATGATCTAATCCGAGGCTGCTGCTGAGGGAGCCCCACCATCTCCAACAATGAAACACAGATTTAAACAATAAATAAGGCTGTATTTGAAAATGAGAGGCAGAACAGCTGTGCAAAAACTTTACATGTTATCAACTCAAAACACAACATCCAGTCCACGCTGTTTACGAAGTTTGGACACCTTGGAATAAGAAACATTTGATTTTTTAATTGTTCAATTACTTGTAGTTGTTCTTGTGACCCATCTCCCCACGCTGGCATAATTCTGTGCCTTAACACTTACAGGCTGAATTCTGAAAAGCTCCTTGCGTGATGCATGCTCACCTTCCTTGAAAGTCGACACACTATCCTTATGTCCTGTGTGCTCTCTATGACAAAGGCGACATAAGAAAGCCAGGCCTGTCAGCACCGAACGCCACCTTCAGGCAGTTACTTCCCTCCTGCTTTTCTCAAGGTTACTTTCAAGTTCTCCCCCTTTTGGAAGAGGGAGACAGTTACAGGGAGAAGAGCATTTGATTTGAGACTTTACATCTTGGAATTAAGAATCTTCAAGCTTATTCCCAGTTATACTCAAAAGTAGCTCCGAGTATCTTCGCACATCATTCAGCTCCTCCACGATTATCACGTCTTGCTTACTTCCTCCTCTAAGGTTTTTTTATGGATTATGTTGTTCTGCACTGGAACAGATGAGGGGGCAAACTGGCCAAAATGAGTATCTGATTAGGTATTAGAAGTACGACAACAATCTGGAACACGAGGTGCAGAGTGGACTGGAGAAGGGGATAGGGAAGAAAATGTGCAACAATGAGTGAAGAGGAAAAAATAGAAAAGAATTTAAAAATGAGTTATGTTGTTTCCTCCTTCTTTTTGTCATAAGTTAAAATGACATAAAATTCCTCAGTGCCACCAAGTCTGTCCCAAGCAGCTCAGGTCAGAAATGCCATCTCTGTGACCAGGCAAACTCTCATTGCCTGTTTGTCTCATGGTCACTCATTTCTTTTATCAGTATTTGATGGAACAAGAGCAACTTAGTTTTGCTTTTGTTTTGGAAGCCAGCTCGAACTTCTCTGCAGTATGTTGTGACAGCGGCGCTGAGGAAGAGTTGTGAGACCTCAAAGGTTCAAAGGTAAGAGGGGTGTGGTGTGTTCTAGGTGAGCTCATGGCTGACGCCTGGTCCCTTTAGCCCTGGAGCCGGTCATCCTGCGGCCTGTCTAGGACCTCAAAGCCCCTCAACACCGCATATGGCAGATGAAGGTTTTCTAGCCCACTGTCTAGGACATCCTATGAACGTCTTACTGGTAAACATTGATGTCTATGCCTCACAAGTTCTAGACCTTGTAACATTATTTTAAACATGCACACCAATGTGATAATGCATTTTCAAGTTACTGGCTAGGCATTAAGCACTGTGGGGAATGTACAGAAAATTAAGAGACAATAAAAACCAAATTGGGGCCCCGGCACCCTGGGGCACAAAGCGCTACTGCAAGGGACCTGTCACTTCCTCTGCTGTAACATCATAACAGTGAGAAGCCACTGTGTCTACCACTATGAGTTCTCACATCTTTGCACTTTTGCCAGATATGGACTATGAGGGGGAAAGGAAAAACGAGGTCTCATGTAACAGGTAAAGATAGTGTTTAAGAGTCGGGCTACGTAGCACACCCCATCTCAGAAAAGAAGCAATGCTTTACTCATAGCTGTAACACGGCTCCATGTGTGTTGGAGTAGAACTGTGCTTAGGAGGCTTTCAATGGCCAATGTTTTGGAAATAAATGGCCAGGACTTTCTTCGGAGCCTCCTCTGGGTGGACTCAAATTATAACCTTCAGGGTAGCAGCTGAGCACACAATCCCTTGGCACCACTGAGGGACTCCAGCGGTGTCGGGTGTGCAGTATCTAAGATATGGTGACAATACATGCAATTGTTATTAAGTGCTATCACGTCAACTCTAACTTTTACTGACCATGCATATGACAGATCGAAACCGTGCCCAATCCTGAAGCATCCTTACAATCTCTGTGTACTTAAGCCTCTTGTAGCACTGGGTTTAGGGTATGCAGGAACTAAGGCATGGTAACAATGTGTAGACTACACAGTCTATAAGGCATGGTAGCAATGCATAGACAGGGTATGCAGTATCTAAGGCATGGTAACCATGTATTAGAGTAGGTGGATGCAAAGATGTGATGTGTAGAGCAGATGGACACTAAAGCATGGCAGCAACATGTGGGGTGGACGGACTCTAATATAGAGTAGCAAGACATAAGGCAGACAATCTGTAAGGCATGGCAGCGATGTGCAAGGTAGGCAGTGTCTAGGATACAGTAGCAACGTGCAGGATAGATGTGTCTATGATATAGTAGCAATGTGTAGATAGTGTCTAAGATACAGTAGCAATGTGTAGGGTAGGCAGTGTCTAAGATATAGTAGCAATGTGTAGAGTAGACAGTGTCTAAGATACAGTAGCAATGTGCAGGATAGATGTGTCTAAGATATAGTAGCAATGTGTAAGGTAGGCAGTGTATTAAGACAGAATAGTAATGCTTAGTGTAGGCAGTGTCTATGGCATGGTAGCAATGTGTAGAGTAGATGACCTCTAAGGCAGAGCAGTAACGTGAATGGTGGAAAGTACCTAAAGCATGCCTCAAGAGTCCTTCACCAGTTTAAGCTGAGGTTAAACCAACCACATATGCTTCAGAATTAACACCATGCATGATGCCACCTTCCACAGGACCACACACAGTCAGACCTCACACGCGAGCCCAGAGCTCAACACAGGAGCCCACTGGAATGTCTTCTGTCAAGTCTTCTGGCTGACCTGCCCCCTGCTTACAATTTTGATTTTGTTTCCCAACCTGCTGTAAGTGGCCTGGGCACAGCTATGTCTGGTCCCTTACTACCTTTTAAAGCAACAAATGTTATGCATCAATCGTCAGGTGGATTACCAAAATATTATTCCACATCTGTAAAGTACAAACAGAATTAAAACTAAACCCCACCACATAAGCAGGTAAATGGAACAAGTCCACTGAGGGAGCCCCTCCTATACATGCCAGGGAGGTTCCCTTTCCTAACATCCACACATGGAATCTGGCAGGGGTTTCCCAAACCCCTGAGAGACAACGTAAAATGTGTAAGTCTTGAGAAAAACCATACTTTGGTGGCTGAACAATAATCTTATTGAGTAGAGACATTCTGTAGAGTACATAGTGGTGACAGAAGGTCTACATTTTCTCTCGGTGTGCCTTTGGATAATGGTCTCTTTAGACGGAGGGGTTTGAGGGACAGAGGGTATTTTTTTGGAAAGTGCTTTCCACGGAGAGGAGACAGCACCTCCTGCAGGAAGCAGCTGGAGAAGCCCGCGGTCAAGGTCACGTTTTCGCCAGCGGATCAAACAACTCCAAAGCTGTCTTCTTGTCTTTGTCACTGAGTGTCACCCAGTGTCTCCTGTCCTTCTGCTGGTGGTCTGCTGGCTGTGGCCCCACCTCTGCAGCTGAAGCACTAGCTAATGGTGGGCCTGCACAGGCCCTCTCAAAGCCCCTGGTTCCCGGGTCTAATGGGTCAGAACTCTTAGAAAGCCAGGCACAGTCCAGCATTTGAGCATGTTGGGGAAGGTTCCAGAAGGGATCCTGGCAGTCACCAAGAAGGGAGGCTGACTCTGACTTCGGCTCCTTGGTGGCGCTGGTGTCAGGATGTGAGGCAAGTGACATGCCAAGGAAATCTGCCTGCAGGTAGCGTGAGCTGGTGTCCAGTGGGGGTTTGGCTGGACAGTCTTCACGGCTGCTGCCACAGGAGAGGTCCTGGAGAAGCTGGCTGTTGCTCTGCAGGGCCTGCAGGTGGAAGGCGGCTGGTGCTGACTTCTTCCTCCTTGGAGGAACCTTGGGCACAGGGGGTGGCACCTCCCACAGTGATGTCCCCGCAGGGGCTTCACTTGATGCTGGCTTCCCGGAGCTCCGCCTTCTCTCAGAGGCTCTCCCAGGCTGAAATGTTCTGGGTCTGGGGACAGGAGGGACCCTGGCTGTGGTTAGAGAAGGGGGTTCATCGCTGGTCTCTGGCGGCCCGATTGTAAAGCGAGCAGTCTGCTCCTTACACAGTTCCTCTGTCGACATGGGCTGAAGGAGGAAGGAAGGACACAGAGAATCAGTAGAAGCCTGTACTTGACGACACTGGGGCAGAGGTGGGCTCAGCCGCATGCTAACACACACAGCATTCAAGATGTCTGTTTACCAGAAGTGGGGACCAGACAAGAGAAAGGTGGGGATGCACACACCAAGGAGGAAAAGCAAGTCCCATGAACAGGAGGGGATGTTTGAAAACCAGGGCCACTGGCAGCAACTTGAAGTCATCTTTTTATGTTATTACCATGCTGACAGCTGAGGTCTATGTCCTTAGGATTGCTGTTATGTGTAGTTTTGTGCCATCGAGTCAGAACTGACCCACTGCTGCCCCTCCAGTGGGTTTCCAGAGGCTATAAATTCCACAGGAGGACATTTCCCATCCTTCTCCTGAGGAGCAGCTTGCTGGTTTGAACCACACACCTTTGGGTTGGTAGTGCAACTCCCTAATTACTAGGCTACCAGGGTTTATACATTCCTCTTACTAAGCTACTCCCAGAAAGCATCCTTTTTTCAGGCTCTGGCGGAGGCTGAGAATCTGCCCGCTGCACCAGGCTCTGGTGAAGGAGCTCCCATTAGACCTATAATGAAATGGACAGTGGGTCTCATCATCTCCATGACCTTCTATTTAAATGTAGATGAACAGGAATTTCCCCAAAGGCACTTCAGCAAAACCCCTACACACTGCAGCTCTCTGGGCTTCCTAGGACACTGTGGAGTCGACTTTGAACAGAACTGCCCTCCTGGTTTTCCAGGCGTGAGAGTTTGAAAGTAGACCACCAGGCCTTTCTTCAAAAGCACCTCTAGGTGGACTTGAACTTTCAACCTTTTAGTTACAGCAGCAGAGCACTTAACCATCTGGACCACCTAAGGACTCAATAGCTCAGCACTGGCACGTTTCCTTTGGTTTTCGGGGTGGGGGGGAGGCGGGGACTCCATCTCCAATTAGCAGGTTGGGGAATGAATACACCTCTGCACCTGGCTTTTAAAAGCAACAACACAGCAAGTACAGCGACAGGAGCAGGAGAGAAGAGTCTGAATGAAACCAGAGAGAGGGCAAGACACCGATGCTGAAGGACAGCAAGGCAGGCTTGCTCCAGGTGACCACACCAGCGATTACCAAATGTCCTGCCACTTAGACCCCGAGATCAAACAGAAGATCCAGATGTCTCTAGAGGTGCCAGTCTCTGTGCTGCCACAGTCCTGACAAACTCATGTCTCTGGAGCACCAAGCAAGGCGGAGAAGCTGGAGAGTCAGGGCAAAAGACAACCTGCAAGAAAAGCGGCGACAGGCGCTTGGGGGTTTACGGGGGAGGGGGGAGGCCTGGCCACAGCCAGATTACAGCGTCTCTACACAGGTGACACCCGGATGGCGACATGTGTGCGCGCCAGGCTGCAAGCCTGTGATTCAAGGCCAGGTTACTGCGTCTCCACGTGGATCGCGCCTGACAGCTAGGTGTGCGCATGCGCAAGGACCAGCATGTGTTGGGGGGCGGGGAGAGCACAGCAAGCGACAGCTGGGCACCTTGTTTACCGCACTCTGCTTTACGGCACTTTGCAGGCACTGCTTTCTTTTCTTTGCAAAGAGAGGTTTTGGGGCAAGTCGGCCTCAAGCCAGTCCTCGGTCCTCTGTTCCCTACAGCTGTGCCACTTCCTATCTCTGAAGCAGCTTTAGTAATTCTTGCAAGACTTCAAACTTTTCCACGATGCTACTGCACACTTACTACTCTCCACCAAAACCCTCTAAAATCAAAGCTAGTTAAGTGCATTCTGATCATGATGAGCCTCAAGGTCTCCAAGGCTACCAATCTTCACTGCCTCCTCGCTCCCCTGTGAAGTGGCTGGTGGATTTGAACTGCTGATCTTTCAATCAGTAATGCCATATGTAATCCACTTTATTACTGCAGTTCCTTAAACCAACTGTAACCAATGTAAGCTTTGCTTCCCTGCACAGAGAAGCCAAGAAAATTGTGTGTCTGGCTTCACGGCTGGATAGAATTGTCTCCGAAGTATGCCTGTATGAGGGAGCTTGGGAAGAACACCAATAAAGAATGCTAGGACACGTGAGCGAGAGCAGCCCAAGATGGTTTGGCTGCGGGCTCCGACGGAACATCTGTGAAGCATCAAACTCAAAGCTGTCCCTGCCACAGAGAGAATGTACACGGAGACAGTACACTTGCGTTTCTGCTCAGCTAAGCCAAGATGCAGCAGAGTGGGTGAGAGATAGCACTGACGGGATTTTCCTCAGAGGTGGGTTCACAGCTGGGCACAGAGACAAGGGCAGGTTAGCCAGGTTTTCATGAGTCCTAGCCACTGCCTAACACAATGCTGGGACCATCAGGAGTAAGCCTGTGCCCTGGATTCTTACTTTTCCTGTCCTCCTCAGGGTGGGCTTCTTGATGGCTGGAACTCTGGGTGCAGGCCGCCGGGGGAGGCACTGGGAAGCCTGGTAAGACTCCAGCTTGGCCACCCCAGAGCTGGGCTCTGGCTTGGAGGTCCCTGGGTCCCTGATGGCCATGGCATTCAGGGCTTCTTCTGGGGTCCCTGGGAGGTGAAAGAAAGACAGTTCACTATAAGGCTTCCACTTCAGACAGCCTGCATCCTGTGACTGAGTGACAAAACAGATTTTCCTTGAGAAGATCTTGTAAAGTGTCACGTGTGGGCTGTAGTCATTCACTTTCAGCATTCACATTCAAAGTGGTCTGGGGAATGTGGACAATTATGGTGGAGGACAGCAAGAGTGAGGCACTACCATCATCTGTAGGCTGCACGGATGTGAATCCCACAGCAGATCTAAACCCACCCATATCCATGGAAGCTGATGACAAGGAAAAAGTAGTTAACCCGAGGTAGATCTCAGGGCTCTGATTTATGAATCCACCGGATTTTATTTAATTGCAGCTTTATTGTGAGGATCTGTGGTAGTGTAGTGCATTAAGAACCAAGAGTGCTGCAAACAAAGAGGTCAGTGGTTTGGATCCACCAGATGTTCCAGGGGAGAAAGATGAACATTCTCCTTGAAAAAAAAGAGTTTCTGTCAGAAATTTGATGGAGGGTAAGGGTGACTAGGAGTCAGAATCGACTAGATGTGGGTTTGGTTTATCAGAAGGAATTTGTGTCTTCTTTAGATGTTACTGGAGAATTCCTAATCAGTTAAACATCCTGATTGAAAGCAAATTGGGTCACTGTAGTTGTAATACATCTTTTTATAATTGAAATACTTCATTTATCTCTTTTCTTTCGTTTTTGTTTATTTTGGTTTTGGCATATTTCCTTTCAACATAAATACTTCCCCTCTCCAAGAGATTCTTTCTGGCACAAATAAATACAAAGCACAAAAATTTTAGTTCCCGTCTTACTCTCCTTTTCTGCTGACAGGGTGCTGTAACATCTGGTTTTACCCCTACCTTTTTAGGGGCTCTTTTCCCTCCTTCCCTCTTTTTTTCCATTTTAACTATTTTGCACGTTGTTGTTGTTGTTATGTGCCGTCGAGTTGTTTGCGACTCATAGCGACCCTATGAGCCCAAAACCCTGCTCTGTCCTGTGCCAACCGCACTGCCTCTGACACTCCCATCCCGATTACCCCAGTCACTGAATCAATCCACCTCATAGAGGGTCTTCCCCTCCTGCGCCGTCCCTCTACTCTCCCCAGCATGATGTCCCTCTCCAAGGACCTGTCTCTCCTTACAACATGTCCAAAGTATGTCAGACGAAGCCCCAGAATCCTTGCCTCCAAGAAGCAGCCTGGTTTAACCCTCTCTAGAATGGATCTGTTTGTTTTCTTGGCAGTCCATGGAACATTCAATACTCTTCTCCAGCACCACAGCTCAAAGGGGTCAATTCTCCTTCTGTCCTCCCTAGTCATTGTCTAACTCTCTGATGCTCACTTTTTTTTTTATAAGCATGGCTCACTTTTCACTATGCCTGTGCCATATTGCCTTAATAAACCTTTGTCATGTATTTTACTAAAATTTTTTTTTGTTCCTAATGATTCGACGGCACATAACAACAACAACAACAACAATGATTCTGAGCAAGAAGATTCCAGGCTGAGCTGTGATTAACATGGGTGAGGGGCAGTATGGTGACAAAAAAACAAACCTGTGATGGGGCAGAGAGAAGGGCGGCCAACAGCAGGCGACTTCCCTGTGCTGCTGGTGACTTCAAGCACGGACCTTGTAGCTGGAAAGGGATCTACTTGGAACTGGTGAGCCCTCTACTGCATTCCTTGTTAAAATTATTTTTTGCTTATTTCAATTTCTCCCTTAAACCTCAAACTAAGCCCGCTGCCACCAGGTTGATTGTGGGACGTAGTGACCCTGAAGGGGCAGAACTGCCCCCTGGGGTCCACGGGCTGTCATCATTCATGAGGGCAGACTGCTCCATTTATTGTCAGCAGAGACTCTGAACTGCTGACCCAGTACCAAAGGCTTTAGCCACTGCACCACGAGGGCCCTTCCTGCCCTCAAGTGCTGGGCCACAGTCCTTGGATGTTTTGATTCACTTCTTGAACTTGGGATACAGACTTTTCAATGGACCATGACTCTTAGTTGTGGAATTTTAGAAAATGCTGCTAAGGGGTAAAACCCAACCAAACAGAACCAAGCCCCTTGCTGGCAAACTGAGTCCTCTTAGTGACCCCACGTAACAGAGCAGGACTGCCCCATAAGGTTTCCTGGGCTGGATTTTTATGGAAGTAGATCCCCAGCGGGGTGAGTTTAAACCTCAGCCTTTCAATTTGTGGGCAAATTCTTAAGCACAGTAGTCCATCTCCTCCGTTAAACCTTTGCCATCAAGTCGATTCTATTCATTTTGAATATATAGGACAGAGCAGAACTGCCCCAAAGGGTTTTTATGGACGATCCCTGCACTGACCCACAGCTGACCCTCCAGTAGCTTTTCAGAGGTAGTAAATTGCATGGGAACTGACTGCTCATCTTTTTTCTGTTGAGCATCTGGTGGATTTGAACCATGTACCTTTGTAATGGCAGTGTAATTCCCTATCCCTGAGCCACCAGAGCTCCCTGGGGCTAATGGTATTCCCATCTAGCAATACCTTTGGGGGGGGGGAAGGGCTCTTTTTGGAGTATTTAGTAGGACATTGAGTAGGACGTGAACTTCCCCTTGGCCGGGAGGCCGCCCCAGCCACCCACCTCCATGAGCTTCCATGAGGTACCGGATCGCTGCTTCTGCCTCCTGGGCATTGCTGGTTTTGATCTGCTTGACGTTGTAGGGTTTACTGATTCCGGTCCTGGCTTTGGGCTTGAGGAGAGAATCAGGAAGAGAAGCACGTGAACACAGATGTTAACACAGCACACAAGAAGCTTACAGATGAACACACAGACTCCATTACCAGGCACATCCCTGGAGATGCCTGTCCCAGGAGTCCTCCAACACCAGATGGGGAAGGGAATGGTACCGAGGGCCATCAGTCACTGTGGCCTTGACTCTACTCACACCAATCCTATGTGTGTGTCAGTGTTCAGTGGCTGCTTTTGATAATGTAGATTGCCTGGCCTTTCTCCCATGGTGCCTTTGGGTGGACTTGAACTTCTAACCCTTTGTTTAATAGGCTTGTGCCCCAATCAGCGACTCCATGGTGGAGAACACACTGTCACTGAGTCGATTCCCACTCATAGTGTCCCTATGGAACAGAGTAGGACTGCCCCGTAGGGTTTCATTCAATCTCTATGGAAACAGTCTGTGGAGAAGCTGGGAGCTTCGAACTGCTGACTTTTCGGTTAGCAGGTGAATCCTTCAACCACTGACTGCATGACCTTTGTTCCTTTTTCTAAGGTGCAGAGGCCCCTCGTGAGCTGTTGTTAGGGTTCAACAAGGTTAACTGAGGCGTATGGGGTTCAGCCACCACGTGCAGCGAGGCCTCCTCTGCATGTTGCCCCAGGGAGACAAGAACAGGGATGCATGGACTACTTCACCACTAATTCTTCCATCACAGTGACCTCGACAAGCAAGAGCTGAGGGCCAGGCCCTGTCCGGGGCCCAACGGTGCAGCCGAGAACTGGAGCAGGGTGGCGTCCCTGCTCCTACAGGGATTGTATTTGAGGCAGGACTCTTTCCAGCCTCCCACCACCACCTTGAACTTGTCCTGCGGCAGCTCGTGGGCCGCTGTGATGGTGGAAGCACCAGCCGGGCCCAAGGTGTCAGCAGAGCTCCCAGGGTAAGGCTGTCTAAGAAGCAGGACTTGTCATTTATTTCTGAAATAACAGGCCCTTGAGAGCCCCTTGACCAGCAGGGGGATGCTGGGTAACCGAGCTGGAGCGGAGTCCCTTGGGTTGGGGGTCCCCACAATGACCGCAGCTATGAGGTAGAACACGGCAAAGGTGGCAGGGATGACTCGGGATGGACAGGGTCACTGACTCAGCACTGGCACGGCCTGACAGCCACTAGCATCTTGGCTTCGTGATGTGACCAGTCTCATTTGCTCCTTCCCACGAGCCCCTGACCAGAGCTTCTAGACTAAGCCCAGCGGGGGCCGAGGCAGGACCAGTGGGGAAGCAGATGGGTTGGAAACCAACCCTCTGGGCACTGGGGTCACCTGGGCTTCCTCCCTCACAACTGCACAGTCACTGACCCCCAGGGGCCGCAGGCACCACAGGACAGAGCACGGTCTCGGCCTGCAGTCTCTCCGTGACCAATGGTACATTCAAGTTTGTTGTGTGGCTAGTACGGTGACCTATCTTACCGAGGGCGCCCCTCATCTTACAGACCCTCTATATTATCAAATATGACACCTCTTTCTAGCTGTCTGTCTTTCCCAATTACACACATCACAGCCCTTTACAAGCCCAGTAAAAGACAGGCTGAGGCTCGGGAGGAAGGCATGCAGATTCGTAGGGAGCAGAGGGACCCCGACCCGCAGCCCACGAGGCCTCCAGCCGCACACAGGACTCACTGGTTGCTGCGGTGCTCCCGGTAGCAGCTTTGCTGTCTGTAAAACTGAGTACTGCCCGTGGATGCCGGAGGAGATGGACACGTCAGAGGCCGACTTCTTCACCATCAAGCCAGCTGCAGAAGCCAAAAGGGGCCGAGTCTGAATAGCAGAGCAGGGGCCTTGGGCTGCAGGGCAAAGGCCGAGCCAGGCCAGGCAGCCAGCAAGCTGGACCCCACAGTCCCGGGGGCTCTGGTGCTCAGAGAAGCATCGCAGTCACAACTCAGAGCTCTTACAGATCCAGACAGTGACACCTATTCAGTCACTGGAGATCCACTCTCTGACCACAAAGCTGTTTAACAGACAGAGCTTGGAATGTGATGGAAATGCCTGTTTCTTTTATTACGTGGCTGGAAACACACTGCTGTAACTATGACCACAATGGAGAAATGTTTACAGAGGGGGGGAAAAAATCTAAATGTCCTAAAAGAAGGGAATGAACGATGTGAAACTATACTTGTAGTTGCCAATAAATCACCACACAAAGCATGTCCTGATTTTGTAAAAATTAATCATGGTAAATGTGATGCTACAGACGAGTGGAAAAAGGCTGGAAGTCTCGGTGGGCAACTGAATTTAAAATTTTTATTCTGTTTTTAAAAATTTTCTATAATGTATGACGTTTATACTCAACAAAGCAAAAAGAAAAAAATTGCTTAAAAAGTGATGTGTTTCTAGCTTCCTTCCAATAGACTACTAAAGATTAATAAAAAAAGAATTTTTTTAAAAAATCACCCAACCCACTGGCATGGAGCTGATTCTGATTCAAGCCTGTAGGATGCAGAAGAACAGCCCCTGGGGTTTTCCAGGCTCTGGGGGCAGCCTTAAGAGGACACAGTTCAAATCCACCCGCTCTCTGCGGGAGAAAGATGGGCAGCAGCCTCTGAAAACCTGCTGGATGGCCAGCTGTGGGTCAGCTCTGACTCCACGGCACACACACCAGCAGCAGTCTTTATGGCAGGGATCTCTAGTGGCCAAGGCTGTGGACAGTGGGGTTGCGAAGCCAAAGGGCATGTCTCGCAGGTGCTTTGAATCCATCAGAAGATCCTCGGGAGAAAGATGAGCAATCTCCTCTGTTGTTGTTTATAAAACCTGCTAGTGGTCAGCTGAGAGCTGGTTCAGACTCCCCTACCATGACTGAATCTTTACGGAAGCAAACTGCCCCAGCTTTCTCCCTCAGAGTGTGGAGGATTTGAACCCCCAAACCTTTGGCTTGCATGTGCTTTACCACTTGGCTTTCTCTTTCTTTTTTAAATGGTTCCTTCTATGAATAAAACCCAAACCTGTTGCTGCTGAGTCATTTACAACTCCCAGCAACCGTGCAGGACAGAGCAGACCAGCCCCTGAGCGTCCAGTGTTGTTGGCCTTCCAGGAGCTGAGTCGCCACCTTTCTCCCAGGCAGCACCTGGTGGGTTCAGAGGGCACGAAGCTTGGCAGCTGGGTGCTTTACCTGCTGCGTCACCAAGGACTCCAGTAGAGTGACATGTTGACGCTAACAGGAGCCATTAGAAACCCAGTCCTGAGAGCAAAGCCTGGTAAGATGACTCCTGGCTGTTACACTGGATTTTTTGAGGAGTGGCAGGGAGTGAACAGTAGAGATAAAACAGAAACTTATCTAAGGCATGTCTTGACTTGGCCTTCGGGATATTAAGGAGGTGTTGGGGGCATAGACCCTCTCCCCGGGAGCCCCAGGTGAGAAAGACCTCGAGGGCTGCTGGTCCTGCACCACAGGAGGGGTCAGGAGTGTGTGGTCTCTTTGTGTGTCAGGCCTGGCTGGAACCTTAACAAGAAGTAGCAGCCCTGACCCTTGGCAGAGATGGGGAGGCCTGGAGAAGCCCCCAGGCTGCACAGGTTCAAGCCAGAAGCACCCAGCTGGAGGAAGATGAAGACTTGCTTCAGGAAGCATCTGATTGCTGATGGGGACCCAGTGTCCAACATGCCAGGGCGAGGGGACAGAGCAGGACAGGGGAGGAGCAAGCATGGGGACGAGTGAGGCCAGAGGTTAGAGGTGGGGTGTGGGGGTAAGTGTGCGATTATTCCCAGCAGGCATCACGAGTGGAGAGCTGGGGGGCTTACTTGGAGGGGGTGGTCTCTGAGGTGGCCGAGGCCTATTGGGGACCGACAGAGACCTGCTTGGAGAGCGGTGGCGGAAATCCCCAACGGCTTCCAGCTCCTGCTTTAACTCGGCCAGCTCGGCGTCATCTGGAGGACACGTGGGGCAGGAGTGAGGGTCGTCCGAGGGCAGGGCCCTGCTGTGGACAGTATCCACCCCAGAGCAGATCCACCCCAGAGCAGACACACCCTTCTGCTGGCACGAGGAGTGCTACCAAATCTGCTCCGTGGCCACGGAGTCAGCTGCAGCTCACGGCGACCCCATGCGACAGTGGAACAGGCCATGGGATCTGGTCTCAAGGGAAGTGGACTATGGGAGAGAGTCAGGGAGGGGGGCCCAATGCCTGCTTGGAACAGTCGGTGACCCCCTGTCCTTTTTCAGACATGAGAGGCATGTTTCCCAATCGGGGTGTGTTTCCTTCAGAAACAATGAGCATGACTGGCTCACAGGGAGACAGCTGGAACTCGAGCCCCGGAGGACCCCCAATCACATGGGGGATGGGTTCTACTCCTCACCCCAAAGTGGGAGACAGGGTTGGTGGCTTCCCCGCCAGCAGGCAGCCTGGTGCCGTGGGGAGGGGACAGCACCTGGACTGAGGCCTCCAGCCAGCTCACTGTCCACCATCACTGCCAAGTCCTCACATTCTGCCAAGACTTTGAGGATGTGGGGGCTGCGGGGCGAGGGCTTCCGTTTTATTACTCCAACACCACTTTCCATCAAGTTAATTCTGGCTCAGGCTTCTCTGCAGGAGAAAGACGGGCCATTTCCTCCTGGGAGATTTACAGCCTCTGAAAACCAGCTGGAGGGTCAGCTGTGAATCTTTTTCAACTTGATGGCACACAATAACAATAACAGCAACACTCGGTAACAACACGTGTGCTGGGTAGAACTAAACTCCAAGGGGTTTTCAAGGCTGTGAACTTTTGGAATTGATCACCGGGAATTTTTTTCTGAGGCACCTCTGCGTGGATTTGAACTGGCAATCTTTCATGTGTAACCAGCAGGTAATTGTATTGCCTGGTTTCTGTTTGATCACATTAGGGTAATAACAGATCTGCTTGGCCATATGTCTCCACACTCAGCTCAGCTCGTGTATCTCTGAGGAGGAAAGTGAAGAGCAGATGTCCTCCTCCTGATGGTTTGCTGGACACTGCATGGGTGTGTGGGGCTGTACGCTCAGCGTCCACCAGGCACCGGGCTGCTGACGACCACCTGCTCCGTCAAGTCCTTTAACCTTTGTGTGCCAGCCAGCTCTGCCCTCCAGCTGCAGCCTGGGGGACTTCTGCCCCAGAGAAAAAGCCACCTGTCCCTTCAGTGGCTTCTCTAGGGCAGCAGCCCCCAGAGGAGACGTGAGAGAACCACCTTGACGCTCCAACAAGCAGGTTCCACATCAGGCTGTGTGAGCATCACTGGGGGCTTCCGGAAACATCTCTTCTCAGCACACCCTGCCCCACACTGACCACACCCGACACGTCACCTCGTCTCCAGGACACCCTGCCCCACACTGACCACACCCGAAACGTCACCTCGTCTCAGCACACCCCGTCCTCACGGCCTGTGAGGATGGCGCAGGACGGGGCGGGCTTCCATCCTGCTGCGTACAGGGTCACTCCGAGTCAAGCCATTTCAATGACACCAAACCACAACAATAGCGTGTAATGCTGGGAGCCCTGGTGGCACAAGTGGTTTGCAACTGACTGCTAACCTAAAGGGTGGCAGTTCAAACCCGCCCAGTGGCTCCAGTGAAGGGTGGGCTGGCGAACTGCTTCCATAAAACTCTCTGCAACATTTCTACCCTGCAATGCCGGGGCCAGCACGGGCTGGAGTCAACTTGGTCACAGGGGTTGTTTTTAGGTAAAGGGTTGGCAAAAGAGAGGAAGCCCCTCAACATCAGAGGGACTGACACAATGACTGCAGTGATGGGCTCAAGTGTGTCCGAGATGATAAGGACGGCACAGGACAGGATAGGGTTCAGGTCTGGTGTTCACAGGCTCGCTATTAATCAACCATACTTGACTAGACAGCATCTAACAACAACAATAATGTCAATAGAACGTTACATCAGCACCTCAGGACAGACATACCAGGTGCCACTTAGGGATTAAAAAATAAGGGACAATCAGAGACATAAACGCCATCCAGACTGGTGGCCACATGAACACAGATGGGGATTGGTGAGGTGCTGGCTGTTTATGGGACTGGAGGTTGTTCTGAAAACACAAAATACAAAAGCCAGAGAAAAGAGTGGTGGGGAAGCTGGGCCACTCTGCACAGTTCCGTGTCCAGACCGAGCGTGGTTCACATCCAAGACCATCACGGGGACCCGCACGCCTCGTGGGGATGCCTGAATGCCCGAAGAAGACTGACCTACCTGTATACGTAGGCTGCTGGGGTTTCTTGGGGAGGGCAGGCGACATGCTGGCAGGCACCACTGCTGTGTGGCCAGGGGCTTCCGGAAGGTCCTCTCCCAGCAGCTCGCTGTCGGAAACCACTGGCCGATGGCACTCGCCCACCAAGTAGTCCTCGTCCTCATCCAGAATTTCCCCTGCGGCAGGAGGCGGATCACAGGAGGCAGTGAATGTGGGAAGCGTTTCACCTGATGCCCATGGTTCTGGTCACACACAACTGGTTCAGATCCACGTGGGACCAATCCCGTTACTAGGGATGCAGGGGCCAAGGCGATACAGGCAGGGCTACTGCCGTCACTGTGCCCCATAGAGACTCTCGGACACAGCCTCGTCTACCTGTGAACACAGCCCTTCCAAGAAGCTTGAATTACAGGTAGAGCTCAGAGGCTACATGTATCAACACCAAGTGCATCACACAGCTATTCCCTGTTTCCACAGTGCATACGGAAGTTGTTGTGTTGTGCAATGACTCATAGCTGACTCTCCAGTGGGTTTTCAGAGGCAGTAAACTCCACGAGAGGAGAATGCCCATCTTTCTCCCGCAGAGCAGCTGGTGGATTCAAACCACATGCCCTTGAGTTAGAAGCGCAACTCCTTATCCCTAGGCCACCAGTGCACCTACTTGAAAGTCACGTTTACATTATACTGTAGGTCACTGGGTGTATAGTAACACTAGGAAAACATTTAAAATATGACCAAAATGTGACATAAAGACACAAAGTGAGCACAGGCTATTGGAATAATGAATTATTAATGCAGACTTATACAACTGATCCAGCTGGAGCTCTGGTGGCTTGGTGGTAAGGAACAGTGCTGTCAGTGCAAAGGTAGGTGGTTCAAATCCACCAGCTGTTCTGCAGGAGAAATACGGGCAACTCCCTGTCTCTGAAAGCCCACTGGAGGGTCAGCTATGGGTCGGTTCTAACTCTACAGCACTCAACAACATCTATGAAGACTTATTCAGTGCGGGGTTCCCAAAAACCCTCAATCAGTAAGACACATGGTGACTGTGAAATGCAGCTCCAGCAGGCATCCGTACGGTCTCAGGTCCACTCCCAGACAGTCTGCTGACCCCTGCACAGACCCCTCACAGGCACTGACCTTCAGACTCGTAGTCCAGACCGGCAAAGTCGAAGTTCTCTTCCAGCAGGTAGGGACTGGCGCCGGGTGACACGGTGGCCATGCTTTCCCGCTTCCGGGCGATCTCCTCCTGCAGGCCCTTGAGCCAGTCCTTGGTCTTGGGTCTAATCTTCACTGCCCTGCCTTTCACCTGGAGAGGCAGAGAGACCATGGAGACAAGCGAGTAAAAGCAACTCCGTTCACCACAAAGCGCTTCTCATGCCAACACAGACATCAGAAGCCGAGGCCCTCATCACGCTTTGCCAAGACAACAGGACAGTGGAAGGTCCTGGTGCCCAGTAGTCCTGGTATAGTCCACCCACAGGTTGGATCCTCACCTCCTGCCTTTCTTTCCATTAGAACGTAAAACTAAGATATCAGCAAAGTAGAAACCACCTATGAATTGCATATCCTAAAGAGAAAGATTAAAACTCAGCCCTGAGGGGATTTAAGAGAAGGCAGGTGCTCACTGCACAGGAGTCCACTCCACCTTGTTCTTTCTCCCTTTTTCTGTATACAGCCGGGGCTGGAGGCTGGACAGCTCAGACAACCAGAGGGAAGAATCCCAGCTCCTTCCCTCCCACATGTAACGATATAATCCAGGGCAAGAGGGGATGACATGGCCACTTCAAATCAACAGAAAACCTAGTATCTGGAATCTCAGAAGCTTGAAAATAGTCATCAAATAAAAGGCAACTGGTCTCTCGTCGCCCAGAATGTGGTCACATTCTAGTGGCCGAGTGGTAATTAATAGTGCTACAATCCCAAAGGCACACAGTTTGAATCCACTAGCTCTTCCAAGGGAGAACTACAGACACCCTCCTCCTGTGCAATTTACTGTCTCTGAAAACCTGCTGGCAGCTCAGCTATGAGTCAGTTTCGACTCCACATCACACATCAACTACTCAGGAGGAACAAAAAAAAGAAGGAAACTAAGACCCAGAGAAGAAATCACAAGGTTCTCTACAATGTTGGCAGCTGCAGGAGCCACAGCCTCATCTGTTCTGAGACCAGAGGAGCTAGACAGTGCCCGGTACCCGGCTACCTCTGCCGGCTACCTCTGATCGTTCTGATGAGCAACACAAAAGGTGATGGATCTGTGACAGAATGAGAGTAAGATGTAGAACAGAACACCAACTCCTAAAATGTCCAGTTACTGAACCAACTGAGAGGAGAGGACTCCCTTAGAGATTTTCTCTCTGAAACACTCTTTAAACGTTGAACCAAAACTATTCCCTGAAATCACCTTTTAGCAAAATAATAGATTCACTCCCAACATAAAAGATATCACTCATGAATACTGTGCTCTGTTAAAAAAACCCCCAACAACCACTCAGCTCTATGCAACCAAATGGTCAACAATTACTCTAAGACAATGATGAGAAATAAAAGATTAGGGAGACTAGAGCACTAGAAACAGAACCACCAGAATGAAAGAGAGAAAAATATTGATCCATTCTGAAAAAGTTACTAATCTCACTGTACAACCTGCACAGAAGTTATCAAATGGGGACCTAATTTGTTGTGTACACTTTCACTAAAAATAAAATCAGGTAGTATTTTTAAAAATAACAAAACCACAGAAAATCAGAGATCTATCTGCCTCCTCTCCGTGGCTGATCAGTGCCACCTACCTTCATGCCGTCCACATCCAGGACACTGAGAGCCGAGTGACTATCGGCAAAAGTCACCAGCATCTGTCCCTGGTTGATCCTGGAACAGAAAGACACACATCACCTAGAGAATGTGAGTTATTGAGAGGCTTTTACACCAGACCACGCCAGCCTGACCACTCAGCCGGCTTGTGGGTTCTTGTGGTACAATGAATTAAGCAATACGGCTTTCCAGCCACAGCCTTCCACTTTGCAATTCTCGTCTGTTTAGGAGGTCTGGTGGCTTAGCAGTAAGGAATTGGGCTGCAAACATAAAGGTACATAGTTCAAACCCACCAGCTGCTCTGCAGGAGAAAGATGGGCAATCTCCTCCTGTTCAATCATAGCCTCTAAGACAGACTGGAGGGTCAGCTATGGGTTGGTTCTGACTCAGCGGTACATACCAACAGGAAGTCTCTCTGCTATGCTTCGGATCTCATTCATGAATATTTGTTGGGTTAAGAAAGCAAGATTAGGGTTGGGTACACCTTGAAGCATCAGCTACTGGCAGGTATGACCCATCAGTTCTCCATAAGGGGGATGTGGTTTATGGGCCTGAGAGATTCTACACAGAAAAAGGTTCTGGGAAGTTTAATCCTTCCTAACTCAGGGGACATTGCATCGAACTTGGTCCAAGCGCTCTGAGAGCTGACAGTTGACAACCACAGCCTGCAGGCTCTTGGCCCTTCCTTCTCCAGCCTCTGGGTCCACACACACCAGCCCACGCCATCCACAACCACATGAGTCATTGAGTTTCTGGCGGCCCTCCTGTGGAGCCGAAAGACCCAGGGGAGCGGGAAGGCTGAGCAGAGGAGGAATGACTGGTGTTAAAGATGATGTAGAATGGGACTGACATCAGGGTTGGCGTGAGACTGAGAAAAAAACTGGATAAATGATGTCTACTGCATTGAAACAGATGAGGGAGAGAACAGTTTAAAAGCAATATATGATTGGGTATTATGGTTATGACAAGAGTCCAGAATGAAGTTTGCCTAGTGGAGTGTACTCGGGGTGGTGGGGATTGTATATATGAAGGAATTTTTCTTTTTCTATTCAAAGAGAAGAGCGAACTGAGGGGGGAGGGGTGGGCAGGGAGAAAAGTGCAACAATGAATGAATGGAAATCCAAAATCCCTGTAAATGTTCATTAAAATTAATAAAATAAAATATAAAAAAAAAAAAAAAAAAGATGATGGGATGGTGCAGCTGTCCGGAGAAGGCGGACCTTGGGGACATTCTTCTCTCTACTTTACAGGAACTGGTCTTGTCCTACTGATGCGCGTAAAGGAAATCATCCGCGCAAACCTGACAAGGACGATGGTCCCGTAGTTCCCCAAGGTCTGCATGAGCTCGGCCCGCACGTCCTCCGGGAACTCGTTTCTCTCTTCTGAGCTTGGCGACTGGAGATTGACCACGACGGTGGCATCCAGGGGACCCTGGAAAGACGAGACCTCCTGGAAAACTCTCTCCCGGGCGTCCACGTCCACTTCTTGCACCTCGACCTCCACAATGGCCAGCACAGGTCTGTGCACAGAAGGAAATGGAGACAGTGAGCCCGAGGAAAGGCAGCCATGCACAGAGCACACCCAGCCTCGGCCAGTGGGCAGCGCTGGGGCCTGGGCTCTGCCGTCATCAGGAACGTGGACCACCCACGGCTGTGCCCACCGCTCCCACATGTCCAGGCCGGCTGCCCTGTCCTGAGGGCTTCCATTTTCATCTTGAGCCAATCTCAGTATATCTTAGCATTGCTATCTAAAGGTGATGCAGGTCAGGAAAATAAAGACTGGAGTGAACCAAAGATTAGCTATGGAAATCAGTATCAGTGAAAGTTTTCTTTTTAGAATTGTGAAAGATTTAGAACACACCATTTGTGAAATCAACACTTTTCCTACGTAGACTTTACTGACATCAGGTACGATAATCATGTTCTGCTGCCATTATCAATAATCGTTGAAGATCCTCTATCGTGTTGAGACTCAGCTTCCTGAGAAATGATTCCACAGCCCCATGAGTCGATTCCCACTTGACGGTACACAACAACAACAACAACAAGAGCACTGGAGGTGTGGACGCCCCCCTGCCAGAGGCTCCAGCTTTCCTAGGACGAGTCAGCAATTAAAAGCCCTGGTGCACCACAGTTATGCACTTAGATGCTAATCTAAAGGCTGAGGGTTCGAACCCACCAACAGCTCCCAGTGAGAACACTGAGGAGTCCGCTTCTGAAACCAGCAGCCTTGAAAACTCCCCGGGGCCGTGCTGCTCCGTGTTATAGAGCTGCCAGGAACCAGAGTGGACTTGGAAGGGTTTTGTTTATTTTTTCAGTGCAGCAATTCGTATTAAGAGCCTCAACAACAACACCAACAAAAAAAGAGCCTCAACAACATTCACCTTTTTTTTTTTTAAATTTGATTTTATTTCATTATTTGTGTGTGTACCGTCAAATCAAATCTGACTGATACAGGAGGAGATTGTTCCTCCTCCAGCAGAGTATCTGGTGGATTCGAACCATGCACCTCTGAGATTGAACATTCACCTTTTTCATCTAGTCATCACATTCTAGGACTTGATTTCAAGGAAAAGATGGGCAATTCTTCAGAGATAATGATTTTGCAAACAAAAAAAATCTAATAAAGTTGTTTATTAACAGGCTGCTGAGAGGAGAAAAACAAATGCATTTAACCATTTCCATTAGGGGGAGCAGGAGACAGCCACATAATTATTGTTCATAAGAGAATTCTTATTACTAATAATTATTAATATATAATATTATTATTAATAAACCAATAATTAACAACATTACTCATTAAAAACAAAGCCTCGCAGCAGCGAAGCCAGTTTCAGCTCCTAGCGACCCTCAGGGCAGGACAGAACCGCCACAGAAGGTTCCTCCCGCAGAGCAGCCGCTGTGGGGCACTGTCGGGTCCCCACCCACTCACAGCTGGCCCTCCCCTGGGGTGGAGGAGGCTGTAAAGTTCCAGAAGGAGACGCTCATCTTTCCAGTCAGCTGGCGAATGTGAACTGTGTGCTTTGGGGCTGGCCGTGCAGCTCTTTACCCACCAGGCCAGCAGGGTGGCCAGTAGATTCAAAGGACTGACTTTTGAGTAACAGCCAAGGACTTAGCTCCTGCACAACCCGGGGTAATAGAAACATTAGGAATATTACTGTATGCTTTGAAAAACAAAGAAATCATGAAATATTATACAAAATGGGTGGCCCTGGAGGACATTATGCTGAGTGAAATATCTCTGTCACAAAAAGACAAATACTGCACAATGCCACTGTTGTAAAATGGGACTGACAGTGGAGGTGGGGTGAGACTGAGAAAGAGGGGATAAATTATGTATATGGCATTGAAACAGATGAGAGAGAGAACTGTTTAAAAGGGATATACAATTGGGTATTATTGTCACAATAGGAGTCCAGAATGAAGGCTGCATAGTAGAGTGGACCTAGGGGGAGGGACTGTATAACAATGAAAGAATTTTTCTTTTACTTTTCAAAGAGACGAGAGAGCTGGGAGGGAGGGAGGGGCAGGGAGAAAAGTGCAACAATGAATGACTGGAAATCCAAAGCCTCTGTAAACTTTCATTAAAATTAATAATAAGGAAAAACAGAATACAGAGCTCTGTTCTGACATAGAGAAGAGGGTTTAGCAGAAGGTAGTGCAGCTGACTTGGAGATTTTGAAAGGTGGGATGGGTGCTATGTTACTACTTACAAACTTTTACAAAGTTCTTTATTATAAAGATCAGAGAAGATTATGTAAGATACTTAAATGATAACGTTAAGTCTAATATGATATTAAATGTACTATTAATATAAAATAGCATAAGGTGTGCCTGATACAGGCCATGGTCTTTGCAATCACTTGTTATGCATCAGAGAGCTGGACAATGACCAGGGAGGACAGAAGGAGAGTTGATGCCTTTGACCTGTGGTGCTGGAGAAAAGTACTAAATGTACCATGGACTGCCAGGAAAACAAACAGATTCATCTTGGAGAGGATTAAACCAAGCTACTCCTTGGAGGCAAGGATTCTGGGGCTTCGTCTGACATACTTTGGACATGTTGCCAGGAGGGACGGGTCCTTGGAGAGGGACATCATGCTTGGGAGGGTGGAGGGACGGCGCAGGAGGGGAAGACCCTCTATGAGGTGGATTGATTCGGTGACTGGGGTAATCGGGATGGGTGTGTCAGAGGCAGTGCGGTTGGCGCAGGATAGAGCAGGGTTTAGGGCTGTTGTGCATAGGGTCGCTATGAGTTGCAAACAACTCAACGGCACATTAACAACAACAACAACAACAACAATGGTGACAACCTTCAAAATGAAGAACCTTGCAGAATTGAAGAGATCTGATCTCTTTCTCACCGCTGTCCAATCATAACCAGCTCACAGCTGTTCCGCCTCTGGGTTTCTGAGGCCACACCCGGCACACACGGAGGGGGTGACCTGCCTTTATCCAGAGAGCAGCCGGCAGATTCAGATGGGCCTAGACTCAGCCTTTGGGTCAGCTGTGCAATCCCCGTGGACTCTGTCACAGAGCTCCCGTGAGAGACCCCAGAGGGTGGCATTATAGTAGTCTCAGGTTGGGAAGGGACTGGGAGCAACTTCCAATGCACACAGGCTTTCTTCTGGGGTGTTAAGAATGTTCTAGAAGTAAAGCACTAATGGTCACATACTCTGAATAAAGACCAATAAATTGTAATAGTTAAATATAAATTGAGCTGTACACTATATACATTGTATCTATACTATATCTAACTGTACACAAAGTTGTTAGTTTAGAAAAGGAAAAAAAAACAACTCAGAAGTATCTATAACAACAAAATGCTCCTAAGAACGTTCCTCCCTTGGTGAAGTGGTGAAATGCTCAGGCATGCAGGTCAGGAGGCAGTGAAATTACAAATCAATGAACTGGACACATAGTATCAATCTGAGGGCCTCTCAGAATTATGAAGTCCAGAGAAGCACGTTGTTCAATGACATCATTCAGGAAAATCTGAAAAATCAAACCTCTCAGTTTTCCCAGAGGAGGCCATGTGCCCAACAGAGCAAATAGTTAGCATTACTGATCCTCAGCGATGGGTGCAGATTTGTCCCTTTGTTCTTGTTTTGTTTACACACAGACACACACGCACACACCTATGATCACACACACACACATGTACTGACATACACACCCTTGCTCCTCGCACACGCATCCTCATGCACACAAACGTGTGCACACCCCTCTTGTGCAGGCGCGCACCTCCTCAGTGGTCTCTGGCAAGCAGATGCCACCTTGTCGTTGGTGGAGGGTGCCCATGCCTGTGAGGACGTACCTGTGGTCAGACGCCTGCAGCTCGGCCCGGCCGTAGTACAGGAGGACCCCGGGCGACCACGTGTGCTTCACTCTGGAGTCCCCGCTCAGATCACTGTCCAGGAGATTGAGCTCCCCCGCTGCTCAGGGCCCAGCAGGAGAGACAGAGAACACGACACGGATCAACACAAGTATATCATGCTCTGTTCCGCTTCTCCTGATTGTGTTTTAGTTTTAAAGCACACGGACGGCTCATGGCAGCCCTGCACCAAGCAAGCCGGACAGGAACCATTTCCACAGCTGCACTGGCTCACTTCACGTGTCTCTGCCATAATTTTACAAATCTCACAATATTTCTGACTTTTCCACCACACTGTTCACACTTAACAGACTACCAACACCCCACCCCCACACTCTGATCAAACCAGTGTGATCCTCCACCGGGTTTCTGGGACTGTAAACGTGGAACTCTGGTGAGCTGGTGCTAAGAAGATGTGCTGGAATCCCAAAGGTAGGGAGTTCTAATCCACCAGCCGTTCAATGAGAGGAGGACGGGCAGTCTCCTCCTATGTGATTTACTGCCTCCAAAAGTCCACTAGAGGGTCAGCTGTGACCTGATGACACACGACAACAATGGCAATCTTTCTAGGAAAAGATGATCTCATCTTTCTTCCAGATGGTGGATTAGAACAACTGACCTTGGAATCCACAGCCCAATACATAACACACTATGCTACCAGGGGTCCTCATACAGATGACCCACTAACAAACCAAATAACCTACCCTTGAGTTTAATCCACAGTAACTCTGCCTGGGGTTTCTGAGCCTGTAAATCTTAATGGGAGGAGGCTGCTCGTCCTTCTTCCACGGAGCCAGTGATGGATTCGAGCCACTGGAGATGGTGGCCTTTTGGTGAGCAATGCACCACTGCAGACTATCCGCCTCAGAGACTACAGAGCAGGGCGAACATAACTGTATGTACTGAGACTGGGGGGTTGGCTTTATTGCAATAGTCTGGAACTGAACCTGTGTACACTTGAGGTCTGCCTATATACACAGGGATGCAGACTGGCCCCTCTGCTGAGCTTGATGTCACAACCAGCCAGGGTCCTCAGTCTTAGTCACTGCACCCTTTTGGGGTGCTGTGTTGGGGAGGAGGGTGTAAAATCCTCAAGTGGAGCTGAGACTTGGGTCACAGAATCCCATACACACCTTTGCCACACTGTCCCCCCTCCCCAGGGCTGCAGGGACTGCAGGCAGCGGCTCTCTGACTCTGCTTCAGGACGCAGGCCAGGCAGCAGAAGAAAACGTACCTTCCCAACCTGCAGAGGAGACGGCCCTACTCAGAAACACCAGCGTGCATCTCCTCAGAAAGGCCTCCCGCCTGTGGACAGTGGACGGGCCCAAATGTCAGATCAACTTCATTTCTTACCGGAGACAAGCTTAGCACAAGGCATGCTTGTGAGCGGATTGGTGGGAACTCTGACCTCTGAATCATCTGCCAGCTGCTGGTGCATCTGTCCTGACCCATGGAGACCCCGGGAGTCAGAGCAGAAGTGAGCTCCACAGGGTGTTAAAAAGCTGGGCTTTCGAAGTACATTCTGAAGAGCCCCTGGGTGGACTCAAACCTCCAACCTCTCAGTTCCCAGAAAGATTAAGGCATTCCTGTGGTGCCCTCCTTCCATCTAATTTGGAATTGGGATTTTAAGAGTTTGGTAGGACTAGGGAAATGCATTCAACTGGGGGGATCATAATAAATGATGGTTAAAATGTAAAAGAATGAGCAGCCCACAGCACTGAAGTTGGCTCATGTGAAACCTATACCTGGACCAAGAGACTGTTGTAGGAACAGAGCAAGGGAACACTGCACAGTTTCAAGTCAGAAAAGGGGTGTAGGGTTATAGCCTTTCTCCACACCTATTCATTGTATACTGAGAAAATCTTTTGAGAAGCTACACTAAATGAAGAACGTGGCATCAGGACTGGAGGAAGACTCTTCAACAACCTGTATTATGCAGATGACACAACCTTGCTTACAGAAAGTGAAGAAGACGTGAAGCACTTACTGCAGAACATCAAAGACTGTAGCCTTCAATATGGTTTACATCTCAGTTTTAAGAAAACAAAAATTCGAAAGAAGTTTCCAGAGCTTTCGAGGAAAACCTTGTGACACGAATTCATCCGCCTGGTCAAAATGCAAATCTTTGTTAAGACCCTAACTGGCAAGACCATCACTCTGGAGGCGGAGCCCAGTGATACCACTGAGAATGTAAAGGCCAAGATCCAGGATAAAGAGGGCATCCCACCCGACCAGCAGAGGCTCATCTCTGCAGACAAGCAGCTGGAAGACGTCCACACTCTTCGTGACTACAACATCCAGAAAGAGTCAACTCTGCACCTTGTCCTTCATCTGAGGGGCGGCTGTTAATTATTCAAAGTGCCCAATGATGGCATTTCTCTGCACTATAGCCTTTTCTCTCAGTTTAAGTTCAGAAATTACCAGTTTCAGTAATCACTGAATCTGTTCAAAATGTTAATATAAGTTTTGTTGCATGGTAAAAGAAAAAAAAAACAACAAAAATTCTTATAATAGGCAATGTCGTAACAGATGGAGGAAGAAAAGACTGGAGTTGTCAGCGATTACATTTTACATAGATCCACCACCAATACCTATGAGGGCTGCAGTCAAGAAATCAAACGATGCATTAAACAAATCAGCTGCTGGGACCTTTTTATAGTGCCAAAGAGCAAGGATGTCAGTTTACTGATTAAGGTGCTCCGGATGCAAGTCGTGATATTTTTAATTGCTTCATATGGTGTCAAAGATGGGCAGTGAATAAAGAAAACAGAAAAAAAAAACCCTAATGACCTTGAACTGTGGTGTTGGAGAAGAGTGTTGAATATCCCACAGACTGCCAAAAGAACTCACAAATCTGTCTGGAAGAAGTTTCTCCACACACATATTTTGGTTTCCAGGTGCATATCGAAGCTATGTTTACACAATACTGTCATCTACTAGAGACCGCTGGGGATGCAGTATTGGGTTGTAAATGGAAAGCCTTGAATCCACCAGTTGTTCTATGAGACAATGATGGGCAGTTGCTTCCTGGAAAGATGTTGTTCAGCGCAACCAAATTGAGTACAACTCTTAGCAACCTGATGAACAATGGATCTGAACTTCATCCTATCCTGTGTCTTCCTTATTATCCTTGACACATTTGAGTCCATTGCCACAGACACTTTATCAATCCATCTTGTTACGGGTCTTCCTCTCCTTTGCTGACTCGCCACCTTTCCAAGCACGATGTCCCCCTCCTCCACGGCATCGCTTCACCTAACAACATGTCCAAAATGTGTCAAATGAAACTTAGCCATCTTTGCCTCCAACAAACACTCCAGCTGCACTTTGTCCAAGACATACCTGTGTGTTTTTTTGACAGTCTGGGGATTTTCAGCACTCTTCTCTAGTACCCCACTTTAAAAGCATCAGTTCTTCTGTCATCCTTATTCACTGTCTAGCTCTCAGATGCACAGCAGGTGATTGGAAAGACTGTGGCTTAAATCGGGCGCATCTTAATCTTTAAAGTGACATCATTGCTCTTCAGGATCCTGACAGCAGACTTTCTCAACACCATACGTCTCCTAATCCCCTGGCGGCTGATACCAAGGGAACTGATTGTGGACCCAAGCAAGATGAAATTATAGACAACTTCAATCTTTTTTTCCCTCTGTCATGATGTAGCCCATACATATACAGTCCCAGAAACACACTGAAAGGCTGGGGTTGGTTTGACGTCTGTTACACGTGTCACAGCAGGAGGAATGAGTCTGAAGCACTGTGAAAAGGACCAACACGTGACCCACAGACATGACGTGAGCGTCTGCTGTTGGGAAACAGTGTGGGGACTCAGCCTGTGAGGGATGCCGTGTCCGTGGAGAACCATCCACCAAGGGCGAGGCAAGGATGCCATGTGACCGGATGCTGAGGAGTGGTGGGGGCTGGTTCACCTGCTCTCTCTCCCCTCCCTGGGCCTCGAACACGCACTGTCCTCACCTGTTTTATCAAACGAGTGCTTCTTCCGCCACCACAGCACCCTGTCCGTCCAGGCTGGCGTCCGGCACTTGTCGCTTGTGTCGTAAGCAGCGGAGCCGACATCGTACTTGTAGGTGGGGCCAAAATTAATAGCTCCTTCGTGGAAGTCTTTAAAAATCTATTTGGAGATAAATCGGTCATAAGGCTATCTCAGGTTCCCTAGCCTCTGGCTGTTAAATGAAAACACACATGCACACGCGCGCGCACAGAGGGTTATGTTCTCAAAGGTAACAGCCTACATCAGGTTGGTACATGTGTTCAGAACTGGACCCAAGGGTGATTTAAAGCAGCAATAAAGGGCCCACCATCAGTCAGTCCACTGCATGGTCACACATACCACATCTCAGTGCCCCTCACAGTGTCCCAGGGCTAACACAGGGTCACCTGCACCTGTTTTTGTTGTGGTGCTGCTGAGTCAAGTACAACTCATAACGACCCTGTGAAGAACAGATCTGAACCCTGTCCTGTCCTGTCCTGTCCTGCCCTGGGCCATCCTCACCATCTCTGATGCACTCACACCCGTTGCTGCAGTTACTGTCGTCCATCTCCTTGAGGGTCTTCCTCTGTGTCACTTTCCATCAGGTCCCTCTCCAAGGAATAGCCTCTCCTAACAAGCCCTAAGTATGTGACATGAAGCTTTGTCATTCTTGCTTCCAAGGAGTCTCTGGCTGCATCATCTCCAAGACACATCTCTTTGCACTTCTGGCAGCTCATAGGATATTCAGTACTCTCTCTACCACCATGGCTTAAAGGCACCTTGCACTTAACAGGGTTAAACAAAGCTCGGTTAACATCACAGAACAAGGAGACAGAGCACTCGTTCAAGCCCAGCTTCTCTCGGCCTCCTGCCCTGGTGCCAGGTGAAGGCCCAACCACCAACATTCACGCATGAATCCTCGGGTCATCAGGGACTTATCAGGAAGGAAACATTGTTTCAGGACTGTGCTGTCCTTGTTAGGTGCTGTCTTGTCAGCGCTGACTCACCACGACTTCATGTCCAGCAGAAGGGAGCCCTGTCCGATCCCACAGCACCCACAGATCTCTGTCACGTCAGTGCCACACATCTCTAAGGGGCTTCCTCTCCTTCACTGACCTCCACGTTTTCAAGCATGATGTCCTTCGCCAGGGACTGGTCCCTCCTGACAAATACCCAAAGTACGTGAGGCCAAGTCTCACCATCTCTGCCTCCAGGGACATCATCCAGGTCAGTGGCTTGTCCTTTTGTCAGCCCAGGGGGGAGGCAATAGCCTCTGACAACATCACGACTCTTCACTCTTCTTCACTCATTGTCTAACTACATAAACATCTAAAGTAACTAAAATCCACAATTGGATCAGGCTCACCTTAGTCTTCAATGTGATGTTTCATTTGATGGAATGATCACTGCGTCTATGGGTCTTTATCGTGGATCCAGGGAAATGGAAATCACTGACAACTTCACTCTTCTCCACTGATAGTACTGCTGCTTATTGATCCAGCTGGTTGTTTTCCTACTCACCACTCCCGAGTGATCTACGATGCTGGGAGGGTCGGTCCATGATACTGAGAGAGTCGACTTGAGATACTGGGAAGTGGATTCACAGTACTGGGTGGGTCAATCCATGATACCAGGATGGTTGACTGGCAGGGTCGATCCACAGTATGTGGAGGGTTGATCCACAGTACGTGGAGGGTCGATCCACAGTACGTGGAGGGTCGATCCACAGTACGTGGAGGGTCGATCCACAGTACTGACAGGGTTAGAGCTAGAAGGAGCAGAGAAACTTGAAGCACGTCACACCCCACAGTGGTAGAGACCTTAACCTCCTTCTTTCAGCCTCTCATCCAGCCTCCTTGTCTCACGCTGCCTCCCTTATCCTGGAGTTCTGAGTAGAGGACGTGGCTAACACACTCTGCTGCTAACTGAGAGGTCAGCAGTTCACGTCCACCGAGAGGCTCCACAGAGGAAAGTCCTGACAATCTACTTGCACAAAGTCAGCCACTGACAAGCTTTGGGGGCACAAGTCCTTCCTAACTGCCGGGGTCCCTGTGAGCTGGACCTGACACCAGCTGGCTCCCTCATACCAGCCCAGCAGCCAGGAAGCTGGAAGGTGCTGGCCAAGCCAAATGTACTCACTGGAGAAGGTAAGATTCGGGTCATCTGGACGCTGGCCACCGTGACCTTAAATAACCGAGGGCAGACCCAGAGTGAAGCCTGTCTTATTTACAGCATGACATAAGATGCCACCAAGAACAACATGGGGGCCACGCAGAGGAAACCACATGCTGAGGCTTTGCTGACCGGTCATGTGACCCTGGACAAGCTATTAGCTGAGCCTCAGTCTTCCTGTTTATTAAGTGGGTATGATACTAATTTGTGGAATGGTCTTGGGAATGAAATGTGCAAACTGTTGTGTAAGATACATTAGATATTATTGTGGTTTTCTACCAACAAGGAATAAGAGGTATCATGAAGTCTTTGGAGCACAGTCTCCTTGTCTCTCAAGATTTCCGACATTTGAGAGGAAGCAGCCACCTGGAGTCTCATCCATGCAGAGCCCTGGTGGTGCTGCGGTGAAGGCATTCAGAAGCTAACTGAAGAGCTGGTGGCTTGAACTTGCAGCCACTATCTGGGATTCTCAGGTGTCCTTTCATAGAACAATCACACAGGCAGCCAAATCCATTTAAAGAGAAACAGAGAATGTGGCATCAGGATTGGAGGAAGACTCATCAACAACCTGTGTTAAGTGTATTAACACAACCTTGCTTGCTGAAACTGAGGAGGACCTGAAACACTTCCTGCAGAAGGTCAAGGACTGTAGTCGTCAATATAGACTGAAGCTCAACATCAAGACAAAGATTTTCACCACTGATCACATTGGCAGCACCACGACAGATGGGGAAGAGATTGAGGTTGTTAACAGTTACAGCTTGCTCAGCTCCACAATCAACACTCCTGGCACCAGCAGTCAGGAAATCAAAAGACGAATTACACTGGGAAAATCTGCTGTCAGGGACCTCTCCAGAGTACTGAAAAGCAACGATGTCAGTCTAGAGACTAAAGTGTGCCTGATCCAGGCCGTGGTCTTCACAATTACTCGCTATGCATCAGAGTCAGACAATGACTAAGGATGGCAGAAGAATCGATGCCTTCGAGTTGTGGTGCTGGAGAAGAATCTTGAACATACCATGGATCACCAAGAAAACAATTATATCTGTCTTGGAGAGGGTGAAACCAAGTGTCTCCTTGGAGGCTAGGATTTTGAAGCTCTATCTCACATACTTCGGGCACATGGCCAGTAGAGACCAGTCCTTAGAGAAGGACATCATGCTCAGAAGGGTGGAGGGACAGCACGGGAGAGGAAGACCTCAGATGGACTGACACAGTGCCTGGGGTGATGGGGGTAGGTGTGTCAGAGTCAGTGAGACTGGCACAGGACAGGGCAGGCTTCAGAAATGTTGTATGTAGGGTCGCTGTGAGTCACAGGCAACTCGACGGCACATACCAAGAGCAATAACAACAACAATCCTGTATCTTTAGGTTCAAACGCTCCCTCCATATTTTACAAGATCAGGAATGTGGTGAAATCCACTTGTGAAGCTTTGCGGAACACAGCAGCAGACGCTTGTTGTGAGCTCTGGCAGCCTGGTGGTCAGAAGCTGCGCTGCTGACACAAAAGGGGGGGGAGGGCAGGTGGAATCTGCCAGCTGTTCTGCGAGACAAAAATGAGCAATCTCCTCCTGTGGAGTCACAGCCTCTGAAAAGCCGCTGGAGGGTTGGACTCAGAGCTAGGAGTCAGTTCTGACTCAACGGTACGTAACTTTGAGCCTGTTGTTAGCAGGGGCTAGTCCTTGGACCAGGACATTATGCATGGAAAGGTCGAGGGCCAGCAGATGACCCTCCAGGAGATGGACGGTCATGGTGACCGTAACAGTGGGCGTTAGTGGGCCAGAGATGAGGAGGACGGCACAGGACAGGGCAGAGCTCAGAACCACTGTTTCCCGGGTCCCCGTAAGTCCTAGTCACCTTGATAGGCACATAACGACGACAGTGTCCACTCAGAACTATTGTTCCACCATGAAGCACCTGCTCAAAGACATCTCAAAAGCATGACTTACTTTGCCATTAGACTTCTGCAGCTGCAGCTGATCAAACTCCAGAAGCTTCTTCCAGTCTTGGCGCTTCACAAAATAGAAGACTTCTTCGTAGGTGAGATCAATGCGGTAGTTGAAATCGCCGCACCAGAACACATAGTCGTGAGAAAACACGCCTCTCCCCTGTGTTACAGAAAAAAGGAGGTGGTTAGAGCCGTCACTGCTGGGAAGGTGGCAGAAGGAAGGTGACTGGTCACCATGCGGATGGTGGGCGGGGCCACAGCCTCCTGAAGACACCACTGACACCATAGCAGACAGAAAGGCGCTTCTACCAGAGCCTTTCACTCCCAAGAGTCTCATACCCACGTCTGGGGTCGGACGTGTGGCTGGCTTCCCAGTTCAAAGTAACAGCTCTGTCGAGTGGTGTGACAAATGTTTACTCTGTGGACACCAGTCAAATGACTGTGCCAGATGCTGGCTTCCAGAACCACCTACGTGCTGGAATCACCCAAACGTTCACAGTTGTGACAATGAGGTTTAGGGAAAATAGTATAAGGTGTGTAGGGAACTAACACTTTTATTTATGAGTCTGCACATCTCACCCCTAGAACTTCCGTCTCACTCTCACCTCCTCCTCCTCCTTCCAAGGCCTGGTATTAACGTGGTTAACGAGTTTGGCTGATAATCAAAAGGTCAGTGGTTTGAACCTGCCAGCCGCTCAGATTCACAGCTCTGGGGCAGGCCTCCTGTGTCCTGTGGGGCTGCTAAGAGTTGGAATTGACTTGAGGGAAATGGCTTTGTGCCTTGATCTTCCTGTCTCCTCCCTATCTGGCTCTGTCACTAGGAGCCCAGGACACTGGGACCCGGGTCAGGCAGCTCAGCCCTCAGAGCCTATATCCAGTGCCCTGACCTCTCCCTTCCCCTGGAACCCCATGCTGACAGCGTCTGTGTGTGTCTCAACATCGACAAGAGCCGAGGTCAGTTCAGGAGAATCTCATCCATGAGCAGGTAACTTATCTCTTTTTCAGATTTTGAAAAAGAAAACACCTTAGGAACTAACTTGTGGCAGCCACACGGCTCGTGTGTGATGGACATAAGCTGTGAGCTCATACCTGCTGGCTACTGCCAACCTCACCTACTTAGGTTGTGGCATGGCCATCTCTCACCCACAGTAACAATGTGGGCAGAGGATTAGAATGGTCACACCCGGTACAAGGAGTGTCCAGAGCAGGGAGGTGGTGGGACTGTTGGCATGTAGAGTGTCCTCCAGCTTTCCTGTCCAGCGTGGTTACCACAGCTGCCCAGAACTTCGGCACCCACCAGTGCGGCCAGGGCAGTGGAGGAAACACGGTTCTAATTTCATTTCCATTCACTTCACTAGACAGGTAGACTCATCAACAACCTGCAATATGAAGAGGACTAACCTTGCTTGCTAGAAATTAAAAGGACTAGAAGCGCTCTCTAAAAAAAAGATCAAAGAATACAGCCGTCAGCATAGATAACGTCACAGCACAGGGAAGACAAAAATCTTCCCCAGTGGAGGGATAGGAAACGTCATGGTAAATGGAGAAAAGATAAAAGTGTCAAGGATTCCATTTTACATGGTTCTGTAGTTAACATCCATTGAAACAGCTGTTGAAAAATCAAAAGATGTATTTCCCTGGGTGAATGGGCTGCCATGGACCTCACTAAAGTGGAAAGAGCAAGGATGTCAGTTTGAAGACTTAGGTGAGTCTGACCCAAGCCACGGCATCGTCAATTGTTTCATACACATGTGAAATCTGGACAATGACTAAGGAACACCGAAGAACTAATGGTATTGGGTTGTGGTACTGGTGATTAATCCTGGATATCCCACAGACTGCCCAAAGAATCAATGAATCTGTCCCGGAAGGAGTGAAACCAGGGTGGTCTTGGAAGCGAGGGCGGTGGATCTTGTCCCCACATACTTTGTTAGGAGGAGAGGGAGACCCGAACAGTGGACTTAAGCACGTATGATCCTTTGTGAGGACGACACCAGATCGGACAGTTTCATCTTATTATGCATAGGTCTGCAAGGACTCAGAGCTGACCTCGCAAAAACAACTCCCGACTTAAACCCACCGCCCCTGAGCTGGTTCTGACTCCCAGCGACCCCACAGGCCAGGACAGAACAGTCCTGTAGGGTTCCCAGGTTCCCATGGGGTAAATCTTTATTGGGCAGACTGTCTCACCCTTTTTCCAGCCAAGCAGCTGGTGAGTCTGAACTGCTGACTTTGAGGTTGGCAGACAAATGTTTTAACCACCAAGTCACCTGTGGCTAGGGCCTACTATACTGGCCAGCACGGTTATCTACCCAGGGCCCTCAGGAATTCTGTTGTTGTTTTTTTTTTTAAATTTTTTTTTTATTGTTATTTTTGTGTGCGTGTACCGTCAAATCAGATCTGACTGGTACAGGAGGAGATTTTCCCTCCTTCCCCGGCAGAGCAACTGGTGGATTCGAACCGTTCGCCTCTGGGATTGTAGTTGCAGCTCCTTGCCACTAGGCCACCAGAAGGAATTCTGTTGTTGAAAAGCATAAGCTATTGTCGTTAGATGGCACTGACTTGAGCATGACTGATAGTGACTATGAACAACAGATCTGACCGTGTCCAATCCTGTGCCACCCTCATCATCTCTGAATCAGAGTACAATTCCTTTCATGATACTGAATGTGTTCCAAGTTTCTATTTCAAGACAGGATTTGTTACTGAAATGATGGGCTTTTTTGTCCCCTAGCTAAATTATTTCAAGTCTTTTATTTACTATGCTCACATGAATGTCTAAAAAACACCATGTATGATCTCCCACCAACACTAAGACCAGGCCCCGCAGTTGTCAAGGCAATTGTGTCTCAGGGACCTTAGACAAAGCAGAACCGCTCCGCAGGCCTTGCAAGGCCCTCAGTCCTCACCTCCTCGAGGTTTGAACCACTAACCTTGCTGTTACTCGCAGAGTACTTCACCACTGCACCACCAGGACTCCTTGCAGTTCTACATCTTTGGGAGAACTGTTGTTGAGTACCAGCAAGTTGGAAACGGCTCCTAGCTCACCCTCCAGTGGGTTTTCAGAGGCAGTAAATCACACGAGAGAGATTGCCAACTTTCTCCCATGGAACAGCTAGTGGATTTGAACTGCGTATCTTTGGTTTGGCAGCACAATTCTTATCAGGAGCCACCAAAGCTAAATCACTGGATAACCAGAAATGGAAAGTTTTTCTGAATTACTTGTTTCTTTCTCTTTTTAAAACAAGGACCCCAGCACTTACTAATGTGAGCTAAGGAGTCTGAGAACCGCTTATTAAGGAGAACTGAAGCACCTTGCCGTCAAGGGGACGGAGGCCCAGTGTGAGGCTCTGTCTCATGAGGAAGACACCGAAGAGACGCTCTACAAAAGGGGAAGCGTATCCTCTCGGCCAGGAGACCACGGCGCTGGGTGTGCACCAGGTTGAGAGTGTGCGGACACACTGTCAATACACAGGATGAACATTACCATCAAAATGTAACCATGAGATCCACTGGCTGCAGTGGGAAGCAAGTCTCTAGGGGGAGCAAACAGTTAATGTGCTGACACAGACAGGTTGGAGGATCAAGTCCACTCAGAGGAAACTTGGAAGAAAGGCCTGGAGATCTAATTCCAGAAACATCAGCCCCTGAAAGCCCCAGGGATCCCTGTTCTGCCGTGACACACAGGAGGTCTAGCCAGGTTAGAATCCACACTTGCTTCGGCCTCAGCGTGCAGGTGAAGGCCTCGGTTCCACCACGAGAGGGCAGCGTTATGCCTGTTATTGGAACCTCAGGTCAAGATGACAGGACCCAGGGCTCCACCGTTATGAACCCCCAATGTCTGGAACGGGGTTCTCACCAGAACATAATCCTGAAGATTGTGAATGGCAGGAAAGTGGAGTCTCTACTATTTTTGGCTTGATGTTCTTTACAATGTGGACAAAGCACTGACGCACTACTTTCTTCCCCTGTTCTATTCAGTGGAACGCTAATGGTCTTTGCAATTACGTGCTATGCATCAGAAAGCTGGGCAATGACTAGGGATGGCAGAGGGAGAATTGATATCTTGGTGCTGGAGAAGAGTATTGAGTATACCATAGACTGCTAGGAGAACAACAGGTTCGTCCTAGAGAGGGTGAGACCAGGTTGCTCCTTGGAGGCAAGGATTCTGAAGCTCCGTCTGACATACTTTTAACGTGTTGCAAAGAGGGACCAGTCCTTGGAGAGGGACGTTATGCTTGGGAGGGTGGAGGGACAGCACAGGAGGGGAAGACCCTCGATGAGGTGGATTGATTCAATGACTGGGGTTATGGGAGTAGGTGTGTCAGAGACAGTGAGATCAGCTCAGGATAGAGCAGGGTTCAGAGATGTTGCACGTAGGGTCACGATGAGTCACAAGTGACTCAATGGCACATACAACATAAAATCAGAAAACGCCTGCTTACTAGAGATGGGAAGGGAGGGCTGTTGTTAGGTACCGTCCAGTATGACCATAGTGACCCTGTGACTAATAGACCGGAACCCTGTCCTGTCCTGCACCATCCTATCATCTCTGACACACACCAGCAATAAAACCCAGTCGACAGAAAGATGGAGGAAGGAAAAGGCAAAGCACAATAAGGGCTTGATAAGACTCTAAGTAAAGGCATCAGTTATTGGTATCAGTGATATAAATGTATAGGAGTGACTGAATGATTTGCAAACTTTTACTCAAAAAAGGAATATGCAAATTTGGAGGACGCAGTTAAGAAAGTTTGGGTTACATGAAGACCTCGAGGAAATGCACAAAGATAAGAAGAGGCTGGATGGACCAGGCATCTCCTGGTCATTTCCTCCCAGTCATTTCCATGGACGGACACTGCCCCTTTTCCTTCCCTCAATGTCAAGCAATGTTCCTCTTTTGTTTTTCCAAGGATATACATATGCGCTATTATTATTTTAAAACTTTTATTGTGGTTTGAGTGAAAGTTTACAGAGCAGACTGGCTTTTTCCTTTGTTTTTTTATGTTTACAACCCCCAGATTGTTAACAGCATTCTTCCCACTTCTCCCCTATGGTTCTTGTTTTCATTCACCCTCCTCCTGGCTTTTCTCTTAACCTTCAGGGCTTTATCCACTGGCAAATGTTACCTTTTCTACCTCATCTGGTTAATTGTCCAAAGGAGTGAGCACCTCTCTGGCGTCACTGCACCTCTAAGCCTATCTATTGTCAGACTGGAAACTGAACCCTGGGTGAGTTCAGTTCCAGACTCCACACCCTCCAGGATTCTGCCAATCTCTACTGGACCCATGTGTCTGATATTCTTCGCTTTCAAATTACTTTATTGATTTTTTTAAAACTTTATTTGAATGGAAATTCATAAATCCTACTTATTTTTCAGTCACTCAAATCTATTTTGTTTTATAACAGTAGTGATAATATTGTTAATTAATTACAATGTCTGATCAATCTTTCACTATATATTGCTTCTTTCCTTCACCTCAGCCACTTACTTATTAATTTTTAATCCCCTCCTCTCCTTTTCCATTCCATTCAGGAATCTTTTGTGTGTAAAAGGGCTGACTATTCTTATGATGTTGAGTTTTGATCCCCATTTTCCTCTCTGGCTATCCAAGCGTGGCACACACAAGCATCTCTGAGCATCACAGCTGGGACTGAATGGAAATGAAGTCCCAGCCCCACTCCCAGAGCTGCCCCACTCCCCGAGCTGCTCTGCTCCCTGAGCCGCCCCTCTCCCTGAACCTCTCTGCTCCCCGAGCTGCCCCCTCCCAGAGCTGCCCCACTCCCCAAGCATCCTTGCTCCCTGAGCCTCCCCTCTCCCAGAGCCACTCTGCTCCCTGAGCTGCCCCTCTCCCAGAGCCACTCTGCTCCCTGAGCTGCCCCTCTCCCTGAGCCTCCCTGCTCCCTGAGCTGTTGCTCTCCCCGAGCTGCGGCCCCTCACCGTGGGGAAGCTCAGCTTCTGGGTGATCTCCTTGTAGTCCTCATTCCGCTCCTTCACCTGGGACTGGCCAGCCGTCAGGTGGCTGCAGATGAAGCAGAAGCTGGTGCTGTGGAACTGCAGGCGGATGCCCACGGCGCCCTTGTTGCCTGTCTTTCCTCCCATGCCCGTCTTCACCGTGCCGATGGCCACATCCCTGCAATGGAATAAGGTGCACGGTCAGAAGGTTTCTTAGCAGCTACGAGGGCACTTGGTGGTGTTGGAGAAGAGGACTGAACGTCCCCATGACTGCCAAGAGGACAAGCAGATGGGTCTGGGGAAAAGTGCCACCAGAATGCTCCTTGGAGGTAAAGACGACAAAGTTTCATCTCCTCAGAGTGACTATTTGGGGCAGGTTCCTGCTAGAGGCTATTCCTTGGAGAAGGACATCGTGCTTAGAAAGGTGAGGGGATAGTGAAGGAGAGGAAGACCCCTGACAAGATGGATTGACACAGTGACTGCAGCAATGGGCTCAAGTGCATCAGAAATGATGCAGTGGTACAGACTAGGACAGGGTTCAGATCTGCTGTCTATGGGGCTTCTAGGGGTCATACTGGACTCAGTGGCACCTACTACCATCTCCACCACCACCACCACCATCGTCGCCACCACCGCTGCCACCACCACCACTACCAAGGGAACACAAAAGCCCATCTGCCTTAGAGACCAGCCCCAGCCTCAGAGCTGGGCGTCATGCTGGTCAGATGAGCTACATCCAGGTGAGTGATGGACACTCCAACTAGGACCCTCCCCCCAGTGTAGGAAGCTTCCTCCTTTTACAGGACATAGTCCCCTGTGGAAGGCACAGAGCACTTCCTAGACACCCCAACTCTCATGTACTCAGAGAGCACCCCAAGAAGTCACCAAAAAGGCTGAGAAGTCTGGCCTTTGGTGTCCATGCTGTTACCACAGCATCAGAAGTGTGGTCGCCTGAGCCCAGTGGCCCCAGCCCTATGTGGCCTCCATGCCACACACAGGAGGTGCCATCCAGCCAGCCAACATCATCACCGGGCGGAGAAACCATGCGCTATTTGCTCCAAGATGGCTGCTGTCTCTGTTGTCAGACGTTGTCCAGTCAACTCTGCTCCAGGGACCCTCTGCCCTGTCCTGCACCATTCTCATCGTCACTGATAAGCTATGGTTACAGTCCCTGTGCCACTCTGTCCAATTTAGGGTCTTCCTCATCCTCTCTAAGCAGAACGCCCTTTTCCAGGGACCAGCCCCTCCTGACAACATGCGCCCACTATGTATGTAAGAAGTAGCCCCACCACCCTGGCTTGTAGGGGGCACTCTGGCTGCACGTGTAGTTTCATATGGACATCCGTGTAACCCAGACTCGTGCTCGAGCATTAGTCAACTGTGTGTGTGTGTGTGTGTGTGTGTGAACATATATACAACGTAACACACGATTTCTGTATGCCCGACAATGTCTGTATATACAGATCAAAGTCGTGGCCTCTGCCCCTCACACTGTGTCTCCACCATTCCCATGGTCTCGAATCCATACGGTTTCCTGCTATTATATGTTCCTGGAAATTCTGAAATATGTTTTGAAGTTGTTATTATCAATATGATTGTATGCAGATAATTCCTTAAAAGAGCAAAACGTTCTTTTTTACTTGAGCTCAGCCTGTTGTTTATAGGTGATTTCACAGGAAAAATGGAGCTCTGGTGGCACGACGTGCTATGTGCAAAAGGTTAGCAATTCGAATCCATGAGCTACTTTTTGGGGAGAAAGATGGAACAATCTCTCATAAAGACGCACAGCCTGGGAACCGGAAGGAGGATTCCATGAGCTGGAATCAAGTTGAGGTCGTGGGATTTGGTTTGGATTTTAGTCCTTAGGGCATTATTTGTTTAAGACCCAAAGATTAGTTCCCTCAGACTCAATGGATCCAATAAGGCTGGTTTCCACAGGAATTTGATGTTCTGCTCCTCTCCAGAGTGCCGAAGAACAATGATGTCAGTCTGAGGACTAAGGTGCACCTGATTCAAACCATGATCTTTCCAATTACTTGCTATGCAGCTGAAAGTTGGAGAGTGAATAAAGATTGGAGAAGAATCGGTGCCTCTGAGTTATGGTGCTGGGGAGGAGTACTGAATATCCCATGGATGACTGAAAGGACAAACAAATACATCCTGGAAAAGGTACTGCCCAGGTGCTCCCTGGAGACAAGGACAGTGAAATTTCATCTTGTATACTGTGGGTATGCTGTTAGGAGGGATCAGTCCATGGAGAAGGACATCATTCCTGCAAAGACTGGAAGTCAGTGAAGGAGGGGAAGCCCCTTGACGGGATAGCCTGACACAGTGACTGAATCGGTGGGCTCCCCTGTGGCAGAGATGATGAGGACGGCACAGGATAGGGCAGGGCTCGGATCCATTGTTTACAGGCTCACAGAGTCACTGTACCAAACAGGATTGCCTGACACAGAAGAATTTCATGAGACAACCTATGATCAAGAGGCAGTGGTGATGAAGGAGGAAGTTCAAGCTCCTCTGAAGGCCCCCGGAATTGATGGCATTCCAACGGACATATTTCAACAAACAGGTGCTGCCCTGGACGTGCACACCAGGCTGTGCTAATAAAGCTAGAGGACAGCTACCTGGCCAGCTGACTGGAAGAGGTCCCTGTTTATTCCTAACCCCCCAACAGATGATCCAATAGAGAGTGGAAATGATCTAAGAAGATCACTCATATCACACACAAGCAAAACCCTGAAGAGTATCCAGAAACAACTGGAACAATACATTAACAGGAAAGTACCAGAAATACAAGCTGGATGTAGAAGACATTAGAATGGCATTAGAGACTTTATCACCAATGTCAGATAGATCTTGGCTGAAAGCAGAGTACCAGAGGAATGTCTGTGTTTCATTGACCATGCAAAGACTTTGACTGTGTAGATCATAACGAATTGTGGTTAGCCTTGAAGAAAATGGGGAATCCCATAACTCCTGATTGTGCTGATGCAAAATTTATACTTCCACCAGGAGGCAGTTGTCAGAACAGAACAAGGAAACTCTGCATGGTTCAAAATTAGTAAAGGAATGTGTCAATGATGTGTCCTGTCTCCTTATCTTTTCAATTTATAAGCAGAACAGTTCATTCAGGAGGCTGGGCTTTCTGAGAGGAGTGTGGCATCAGGATTGGAGGAAGGCTTGTCAATAACCTACGTGATACAACCTGGCCTGCTGAAACTGAGGAGGACCTGAAGCACTTGCTGCACAAGGTCAAGGACTATAGTCTTCAATATGGATTGAAGCTCAACATCAAGAAGACCTATCCTCACCACTGGGCCACTTGGCAGCTTCATGATGGATGGAGAAGAGATTGAAGTTGTTAACAATTTCAGTTTGCCCGGCTCCACAATCAACGCTCTTGGAACCAGCAGTCAGGAAAACAGAATACAAATTGTATTAGTAAAGTCTGTTGTCAGGGGACCTCTCCAGAGTGCTGAGGAACAATGATGTCAATCTAAACACTAAGGTGCACCTGATCCAGGCCATGGTCTTTGCTAATATGCTGTGTACCAGGGAGCTCAACAGTGACTAAGGACGACAGAAGAAGAATCGATGCCTTTTTGAGTTGTGGCGCTGGAGAGGAGCCTTGAACATACCATGGCCCTCAGGAGAGCAAATAGATCTGTCCTAGAGAGGGTGAAACCAAGTTTCTCCTTGGAGGCCAGTATTTTGAATCTCTGTCTCACATACTTTGGGCAAATGGCCAGGAGGGATCCGTCCTTGGAGAAGAACATCATGCTTGGAAGGGTGCAGGGACAGCCAGGAGAGACCCTGAATGAGATAGATTGACATCATAATTGGGGCAACAGGGGTAGTAGGTGTGTCAGAGTCAGTGAGGCCGGCTCAGGACAGGGCAGGCTTCATAGGGTCACTAAGGGTCACAGGCGTCTCTATGGCACATAATAACAACATGGGTCGTAGTCCACGCAAGGGCACTGAACAAAAAGTTCACTTAAGATTTCAACTTCTGGGGAGCTCTGGTGACCTAGTGGCAAGAAGCTGCACTGAAATCCCAGAGGTACATGGTTCGAAACCACCAGATGCTCTGCTGAAGAAGGAGGGACAATCTCCTCCTGTACCTGTCAGATCCGATTTGACGGTACTTACACACACAAATAATTTAAAAAAAAAAAAAGATTCCAACTTCTAAGGCACATAGGTATGTGGTTCATGTATGGACCCAGGAACTTAAAGCAAGGGACCTAACGCCAGTGGTGAGGCCACACACTAAGGCCCATCAGAGCGTCTGCTCCCAAACAGCAACTCAGAAGGTGGCAGGAGGGAAGGTGTGCCAGCAAAACCGGACTGAGCCAAAGACAAAGAAGGGGGTGCGAGGACACAGGTGCTGGAGACTGGAGGGTAACTGGGAAATCCAGAACTCCTCACCATTGCTGCTTCGCTCAGGCTCACCTCTAGCCCTAACCTTACCTGGACCCTAACCTGTATGGACCTTTACCCACGTCCTTCAGACAGCTATTCTACATGCAAAGAACTGCAGCTTGAAGGTATTTTGGAAGAGATGGAGAAAAAAAAATTGAAATTGTTAAGGATCCACAAACACCACCCTTGGCACCAACAGTCCGGAAATCAAGGCAAGTTGCACTGGGAAAAATCTGCTGTCAGCGACCTCTCCAGAATGCTAAGGAGCAATGATATCAGTCTAGAGACTAAGGTGCATCTGATCTAGGTTATCATCTTCTCAATCGCTTGTTACAATTGTTGGACAATGACTAAGGATGACAGAAGAAGATCTGATGCCTTTGAGCTGTGGTGCTAGAGAAGGAACATACCATGGGCTTCCAAGAGAACAAACAGGTCTCTCCTAGACAGAGTGAAACAAGGTTGCTCCTTGAGGGCAAGAATTTTGAAGTCCTGTCTCACATACTTTGGACATATGACCAGGAGGGACCAGTCCTTGGAGAAGGACATCATGCTTAGAAGGGTGAGGCATCAGTGCAGGAGAGGAAGACCCTGGATGAGATGGATTGACTCAAGTGACCGGGATAATGGGGGTGGATGTGTTGGAGATGGTAACATTAGCTCAGGATAGAGCACAGTTCAGAGCCATTGTTCATCGGGTTACTGTGAGTTATAGTTGACTTGACAACAACACAGTCAGCATTAAGAATGCAGGGGCTGTTTCCCTAACTAGACCAAGGGTCCACTTGCGGCCTTCCAGAGGGATGGAGGGGCTCACCCAGGCCTAACCCTATGTAATCTGGGATGAAGAGGCCAGCTCACACCTGATGTCAGGTATCAGAACTGTCTGTGACCTGTTGTCCAGTCGGCTCTGACCTTGACTCCATCATTTCCAGCAGAAAGAGGCGTCGGCCAGGCCTCTCCTGTCTCCCTGACCACTGTGTGCCCATTCCCTGCACAAGCACTCTGCTTCCATGCCTCCCTGCCCAGTGAGCTCATCACCCAGCTCTACAATCAGGCGCTGTTCTCGTGTCATCTGTGGGGCTTTCACTGGCTAATTTCCAGAAGATTGGCAGGCCTTTCCTCCGCGTCTGGCAGCTCCACTGAAACCTGTCCCTCCGGGGTGACCCTGCTGGTATGTGGCATGCTGGTGACATAGCGTACAGCAGCATGCAAGCCAGTGAAGGTTAGATGGGGTTAGAGGGTGAAACCATTAGAAAATGGGGAGATGTATGAACGGCATGATAGGACAGGTGGCAGGAGGAGGCTGTTAGAAATGGGAGTGAACAGTGGCTCCAAATCTTAAATGCACACATTGACACAGAGACATGCACACACATGGGTACGCACACAGTCCCATGTGCCCTGGCAGGAAGCACAGTCCCAGAAGTGCCTTTCCCAACATCCACGGAGCTGCCACGTGGGGCAGCCATGATACAGGGAAGACCACCTGGGGCAGCCACGATGTGGGGAGACCACCTGGGGCAGACACGATGGGGAGGGGAGACCACCTGGGACAGCCATGATCCAGGGGAGACCACCTGGGGCAGCCACCATCCACGGGGGACCATCCGGGGCAGACACGATGGGGGGGGAGACCACCTGGGGCAGCCACGATCCAGGAGAGACCATCTGGGGCAGACACGATGGGGGGGAGACCACCTGGGGCAGCCACCATCCAGGGGAGACCACCTGGGGCAGACACGATGGGGGGGGAGACCACCTGGGGCAGCCACCATCCGGGGGAGACCACCTGGGGCAGACACAATGTGGGGAGACCACCTGGGGCAGACACAATGCAGGGAGACCACCTGGGGCAGCCACCATCTAGGGAGACCACCTGGGGCAGCCACCATCCAGGGGAGACCACCTGGGGCAGCCACCATCCAGGGGAGACCACCTGGGGCAGATATGATGCGGGGAGACAACTGCACAGCTTTCTGCTCACAAATCCTTTGGGAATTCCTTCTCAAAGGCAACAAAAGAACTGGCATTTCCTGCTGAGTTACTCAAGGCCTGGTCAGAGCATTTCCTGCCTGAACGTGTTTGACAAGGGTCCCTCGCCTTGTACCGGCTGAGCGCGGAGGATGGCTGTCTCGACCCGCTCTTTCTGGAAGAGCTCGGCTTCCTCCTTCAGACATTTCCCACAGTGCCTTTCGTGGTGAGACAATGTTCTATTCTGCCTTGTTTTCACCAGGGATTTGGTTCCATTTTTCTAGAATAAAGGCAGAGCCTTGTTCAAGCTATGGGAGTGGAAGGAAGGTGGAGGAGTTCACCGAGCAAACACAGAGCTTACAATGCCCCGCTTCCCAGACAGCTGTCCAGTGTGTGTGTGTGTGTGTGTGTGTGTGTGTGTGTGTGTGTGTGTGTGTCTGTCTTACCTGATGAAGGGGACGTGGTAGGGCCGCACGAAGATGTACAGACAGACGCCCACCAGCTGCGCCGAGGTCAAGAGGATGTACCGCTGGGAGCGTGAGATGGCCTTCTGGAGCTGCTCGCCCCACATCTTCCTGTTGGTGGTGCTGGAGAGGACAGAGCACAGGGCACTGTGGACAGGGCACTGTGGACAGGGCACCAGACACCAGGTACCAGGCACAGGGCACTGTGGACATGGAACTGTGCACAGGGCACTAGGCACCGGGCACAGGGCACCAAGCACTGGCACAGGGTACCAGGCACAGGGCCCAGGCACGCTCCCACCAAATGCTTCCTAGCAGAATTCTTTAAGGAACCGTCTAGCCCATCTGCATCCTAATGGGGGCCTTCATCTTACTCCTGCGATCAACTCCAAGGACCTTTTTGGTGTCTGACTCATTGAAGAAGCTCCCACCTCCACCCTTACGGACCTAGCATAACATCTTGCTCAGAGGAACTCAACTGAATTGGTTTTATTGGTTTGCTCAGAAAGTTGCTTAGAATAAAGCTGATATTGGAGGAAGGTGCTGGTAGCTGAAAGGAACAACAAAAAAGAAAAACAACTCAGTTTAAACATGAACAAAGAATTTGAGAAGGCATTTCTCCAAAGACGGGACAGAAACGGCCAGGAAGCACGTGAAAAGCTGTTTCTCATCATTTCAGATGCTCTCTGTTAAGAGGAAAGATGGATGAAGAGAATTCGAGATGCAAGGAAGAAATTGATCCAAAGAATTACAGACCAGCTAAGTCACAGCCTCAGCTGCTCAGAGACCAGAAGATCTAGATGGTGCCCGGCGAGCACTACAGACCATTCTGATCGAAACCACAGATGACCTGGACTGAGGGGGAGAAAATGTAGACTAAAATAAGAGAATATAAAAAAGACCAGGCTTATTGATCAGAAGGAGACTGATAGACCCGCCAAGACTTCACCCTTCAAATTTGACAAGAAATGTACTTCCAAGAATCGAAGTGCATCTAACCCACAGACAGGCCCACAAACAGAGCACCAATGATGAGGGGTGTGAGCAGAGGATTGATCATATCAGACCAAAACGGCAGCATTCCCCCAAAACAAAGCTCAGAAAGCAGGAAAGAGGAGGAAGGGACAGACAGACACACACAGGGAATGACGGAAGGAAGGACAGACAGACACAGGGAACCCCAGGAGGAAATGGGAAGTGCTGTTACCTTGAAGGAATGACAATTAAGGCTAAGAAACAAGGTGTGTAAGGTGTGGAAAGGAAACGGAACTCGTTCCATAAACTTTCACCCAAGCCACACAACATAACTAGAAAGATAGAAAAAGAAACAACTCCTGACATAGGAATAAAACTTGAAAAATATGATGTTATGTGAAAGAAATCAGACCCAAATAGAAATAGAACACGGGACCCACTTGTGTAGATTATCATGTTAAGCATCTAGAAGAGACAAAGCCATAGACACAAAAATAGATGAGGGATTCATGGGGGGGGGGGGAGAATGAGGAGTTATTGCTGGGGGACACTGAGCTTCCTTCTGAGGGGATGGGAAAGCTTTAGAAATCTACAGTGGTATCCGTGTGTGTGTGTGTGTGTGTGTGTTTTGTTCTGTGACATTTTATCACACGTGCAGATTCATACAGCTACTATCACAGTGAGGACACTAGAAAACTGATAAAAGTCCAAATTATAAGGTCAATGGGTCACTGCTAGCGTGGTGGCTGTGAGAGGACCCTGTGGTCGGTCATGCAAGATGTTTCCACTGGGGTAACTGAGTCAAGGGCAGATGTTGTTGTTGTTGTTAGGCACCGTCAAGTTGTAGATGACTTATAGCGACCCTATGAACAAAAGGCCTGAGCGCTGTTCATAGAGTGTCTGGAGGCAAGCCATTTTGGAAGAGGATGACACTCCTGCTTCCAGGCTTGTTTCAACCATGGAGGGCCACTAAACACTGTCCACCATGGGTAACCATTATCACATTTGGCACATCAGTGTCACAGTGTTTAGCATCACAGCAACCATGAGTTACCTCTGTACAGCAACGCACAGACCAGTGCTATACCACCTAGAAGAATGTTTGACAGAAAAACAATTTGAACCAGGCCTGAGGGCCACAGATTAAAATCACCCACCTTGGGCTTGGTAGCATAACATTCTGTCCACTAGGCCAACATAGCTCTCTCTATGTTGTCACTGAAATTGTTAATTGCTGTCGAGTAGTAGATGACTCATAGAGACCCTATGAACAAAAGGCCTGAGCACTGTTCTTAGAGTTTCTGGAGGCAAGTCATTCTGGAAGTGGATACCAGATGAGGACAGATGAGATTTCTCAAAAAGAAAGAAAAAGAAGAACTGACGGTATAGAACAAAGACATCCATACTGTGCTGAAGTTGCTGGTCAAATCCAGGCTCCAGGAACTGACAGAAAACCAGCTGAGATGGTTCAACAAACAGACTGAGCACTGGGATCAGTCATTCCACTAAACCAGGAAATCTGGAAGACAGCTCCCAAGCCAACTGAAAGAGAACCATATCTGTGCCTAATTCAAGAAAGGGGATTCAACAGAATGGGGAAGTTATAGAACAGTATCACTAACATGACATGTAAAATTACAAGGAAAACTTTGCTAAAGATAATCCAAAACCAGCTGCAGCAATAAACAGCCAGGGAACTGTCAGAACTTCAAGTTGGCTTTAGAAGAGGCTCTGGAGTGAGGGCGGTCACTGGTGTTGCCAGAAGGTTCTTGGCTTAAAGCAGAGAATATCCAGAAGGCCTGCGTGCTACTGACTGCACAAAGGCATTTCACTGTGTGGAACATGATAAATGACGGAAGGCATTGTGATGAAAAGGATCTCCCAACCACTTACCTGTAGCCTTGTGGAACCTGGACACAGCCCTAGAGGAAGTCATACAAACAGAACAAGGTGACACCACACGATTTGAAATCAGGAAGAACGTGTGTCAGGGCTGTGGTCTCTCTCTATACTTGATCTGTATCCTGATTAAATAACACAAGAAGGTGGACTACATTAAGAAGAAGCATCAGGATTTTAGGAAGACCCTTCAACAAACTGTGACGTGTAAATGACTCTACCTTGCTTGCTGAAAGGGAAGAAGACTTGAAGCACTTACTGCAGATGATCAAAGACTACGACTAAAGTGTGGGCTATCAAAACAACTGTGAGATACCATCTCAGCCCAGCTACAACAGCAAAGTTCAACAGGACAGTGAACAACAAAGGCTGGCAAGTCTGTGAAGAGACAGGAATTCTTCCTCACTGCTGGTGGGAATGTAAAATGGTACAGCCACTCTGGAAGGTGGTCTGGCACTTTCTCAAAAAGTTGAAAATAGAAATACCCTTTGAGATATGCGATTAGGTATTTTTGTCATGACGGGAGTCCAGAGCGAAGGATGCACAGTGGAGTGGACCTGAGGGAGGGTTTGTAAAACAATGAAAGAATTTTTCTTTTACTTTTCCAAGAGGGTAGTGTACTGAGGGGGAGGACTGGGAGGGGAGAAAAGTACAACAAAAAATGAATGGAAATCCAAAGTCTCTGTAAATTTTCATTGAAATGAATAAGAAAAAAATTTTTTTTTAAAAACGAAATACCTTTGACCCAGTAATTCCACTACTGAGAATATACCCTAAAGAAATCAGAACCATCATCTAAAAGATGTATGCACACCCATGTTTATTGCTGTGATGTTCACAATAGCAAAGAGATGGAAGCAACTCAATTGTCCATCAACAAATGAATAAAAAATCTGTGATATATTCACTCAGAGGAATATTATGAAGTGTTGGGAAAAAATGAACTTGTAAAACATTACACAACATGAGAGAGCCTGGAAGACATTATGTTGAATGAAATGCCTCAGTCACAAAAGGACAAATATTGCATAACACTGCTGTTATAACATAGGACTGATATGGGGGACATTGGAGAGAGAATGAGAAAATGTAGACAGATAATGAACACTGCATTAGAGCAGATGAGGGGAAGAACTGTCTGAATGGAATATATGATTAGGCATTGTAGGTATGAGAACAGTCTGGAACAAGGGGTGCATTGTGGGGTTGGCTAGGCAGAGGGGGGAGAAAATGTGTAAGAATGAATCAAAGTAAATAATAAACGCCAAAACAATCAAAGTGTGGATTATAACTCAACATTAAGAAAGCAAAATTCCTCACAGCTGGACCAATAAGCAACATCATGACAAACAGAAATTGCTGACGTCAAGGATTTCCTTTTACTTGGACTGGTCAATGCTCATGGAAGAAAACAAAGGCCATACAGCATTTGGGCAAAACTTCCCTTTAAAGTGTTAAAAGCAATGATGCCACTTTGAGGACGAAGGTGTGCCTGAATCAAACCATGGTAAAGTTTCAAATTCCTCACAAGCATATGAAAGCTGGACAAAGAATAAATAAGAAAGAGTGAAGAACCGATGCCTTTGTATTATGGTTTTGACAAAGAATATTGAATAGACAGACCAAGGACTTTCAGAAGAACAAACAAATGTGTCTTTGAAGAAGTTCAGTCAGAAAGCGCCTGAAAAGTGAGATGGAGAGCCTTTCCCTCAAATATTTTGGGTGTGTTATCAGGAAGGACAGTACCAGGAGAAAGCGGAGTGCTGGGTAAAGCAGAAAGGCATGCCTATGCAAGAGAGGAAGACTCACAGTGACAGGTGTCAGAGTGGCTGCTACAATGTACCAGGCTCCCCATAAAGTAACAGCAGGGAGGCTGGAGCAGGACTGGGTTGCATCAGAGTGGCTGCTACAATGTAACACACTCCAACACAGTAACATCTGGGGAGACTGGAGCAGGACTGGGCAGTGTTTCATTCTGTCCCTCACTAAGACTCAACAACAAAGAGAAAAATTCGGTCTTGGTCTCTGGCTCCTGAGTGCTAGCTCTCACATACTGGAATTTCCTGGTCACTGAGGCATCCCTGTTCTCTTGAGCTTCCAGTCAACACCTGGGAGTGTGTGCTAACGAGGTGATACAGGTGGGGCAGGCTGGGTGCAGAGGAGAACAGAAAGAGGGCAGCAGACCTTCGGCTCAGCATGGCTCCAGGAAAGCCTTGGGGTCCCACTGCAGCCACGTCCCCACTGGGCACCACCTCTTGCCCTTCCTACTGGTCACTCACCTGGCATTGACGATGTTCCCAGCACTCAGCTCCACCATCTCCTCAAAGCCCACAGCAAAGATGTCAGCTGGGCTGCCATCACCTACAAGACAGGTAGGGATAGAGGGAATCAGAGCCACCCGTCCTCACCGGATCACAGGGAGAGACCCTGGTCCCTGCAGCTAGTGTGCATCCTCTGGCCCACTCAGCACACGCGCACAGATCCCTTAGTCCTCCACAACCCCATGGGTGCCCACAGGACCCTCAGCTATCGCCCAGGCACATCCTCTGGTCATCTCCAAGATGGGTCTGTGACCATCCCTGTCCCAGGCCCCTGTGAAGTCCACGTGAGATCATGTGTGTGAAATGTGTCTAATGTCCACCCCACCTTCCTTAAAGACAGCTTCCCAGTTGGAATGACCTTGATCGAGCACTACAGGGCTGGGGGTCACAAACCACCTGGTGACCCTGCAGGACTGACAGTGCACACCATGGCTGCTGGCTGAGTGATGGGTGCAGCCCTGTCCTGCAGAAAGAGGCACACACTGTGGGAGTCTGATCATAGGAGGTTCTGGAGAAGGCAGACAGAAAGAAGAAAGAAGGCCAGTGGTGGCAGGGACTGGGGAGGGAGAGCAGGTGAGCCTGTGATGTTCAGGTAAATGAAACCTCTGCAGGACACTGTCAGGGTGGACACATGGCATAATGCACATATCAAACCCACAGGGTTGTGCCAACACCAAGACCAAGAAAAAACCAAAACCCACGGCCATCGAGTGGGCTCTGACTCGCAGGGACCGAGACAGTGCACCAGTGAAGGGCTCCACCAAGCCATCCCCACTGCCTGAGTCACATCCAGCTCAGCGACTCCACAGGACACCGCAAAATGGCTAAGAGGGCTTCCACGCTGCTCTCCTTAGGGAAGCTGCTTTCCACAGGATTGGAAGGTGAGTTTGAACCCCTAGGTTTTCACACAGCAGCTAAGTACTTAATCACTGTGTCACCAGGATGTCTTAAAACCCAGAGTAAATTCTAACTTGCAAGTCAACTACCAATGTTTGGTTAGTAACAATGTATCCTGGTTTATTTCCTGTTAGAAAATGCAAGATGTTAATCACAGAGAAAACTGCCTGTGTGTATGGGATGAGGGGGCAAAGGTTTATATGGGAACTCTGGATTTTCAGTTAATTTTTCTGTAAATTGAAACTGCTCTTAAAAAGAATCTACAGATTTAAAAAAAGAAAAGTATCCAAGAGTTTGTTAGGCAGGTGTTCTGGAATGATCCAAAAAGTTAAGGTGAAAAAAAAAAAAGAATTCACCATTGAATTCTACATGGTAGTAGTTATTGAAAGGCTGGACCGAAGGGGTAATGGGGGATGTGTCACTGCTCACCCTGAAATTCGCCGATGCCGGAGAGCTTGGGGGAGTCGATCAGCCAGTCGGTCAGCTCTCCGGTCCCCAGGACATTGCTCCGGAACTGCTTCCCACCATTGACATTCCAGGTGCCCATGGCAATACGGATCCGTTTGAAATTTGTGAACTCTGACTGCCGCTCTGACATCGCTTTCAGGATCCTGGGAGTCACTGGAACAAAGCAAACCAACCCCAGAGCTGATCCTGACTCACAGCAGCCCTGCAGACAAGGGGGACCCGACCTGTCGGGGTTCTGAGGCTGCAAGTGAGTGGACTGCCTCATCCTCCTCCCAGGAAGCAGCTGGTGGATTCGAACTGCATGCCTTTGGGTGGGTAGTACCCTGAACTAAGCCACCAGAGCTCCCTCTACACCAATACAGGGAGGGATAAAATGGTACATTTCTCGGCAGCTCAAACCTCCGACCCAGAAGGGGGTCCCTGTCCCAGGCTATCGACTTGGACCAAATCAGGGGCCTTCGAAAGGCAGAGGCTGCAAACCACTTGACACCACCATTTCTCTACAGCAACAGGCAGCAAAGTCATGGAAATGTCACTGTCAGGTGCGGGTGAGTCAATTTCAACTCCCAGTGACCCCACATGGTTCCGGGATGGGAGGGAAGGGGTGTCACAGCTTAGGGGCCAATGAGATTCGGTTAATGGATTGTCTTAGTTCCCTGATACTGTTCTGTGCCCTCCAGTCGGAAATGACTCATAGCTGACACTCTAGCAGGTCTTCGGAGGCAGGAAACCACGTCTTAGCCCTCCAGTGTTGCTATGATAGAGACAGCAGAGGAGAATGGCCTTACCAAATAGAAATCATTCTCTTAGTTTGTTGTTGTTACGTGCCATCGAGTTGACTGTAACTCATAGTGACCCTATGAACAATGCTCTATACCCTGCTCTATCCAGAGCCAACCTCACTGTCTGACACACCTGCCCCCGTTGTCACAGTCACTGTGTCATCCACTTCATCCAGGGTCTTCCTCTCTTGTGCTGTCCCTCCATCCTTCCATGATAGCCCTCTCCAAGGACTGGTCCCTACTCACAATATGTCCAATGTATGTGAGATGGAGTTTCAAAATCCTTGCTTCCAAGGAGCAGCTTGGTTTCACTCTCTCTAGAACAGACCTGTTGGTTCTCTTGGCAGTTCTAGGTAAGTTCAATACTCTTCTCCAGCACAACTCAAAGTCATTGATTCTTCAGTCATTGTCCTGCTCTCAGATATATAACAAGTATCTGAGAAGACCACAGCTTGGATCAGGCATACCTTAGTCTCTAGACTGACATCATTGCTCTTTAGCACTCTGGAGAGGTCCTTGACAGCGATTTTCCCAATACAACTCATTTTCATTTCCTGACTGTTGGTGCCAAGGGGGTTGACTGTGAATTCAAGTGTAGGAGGCTAGCATTCCAGATTCAAGGTTGCAGGCTCTCAGGGCTGGACTTCTCTCTCTCTGTTGTGGAAGAAAACACTTCTTTCCTTCAGCATCTATAGACCAAGAATTCCCTGGAGATCCCCAAAGACCCAGGCTTTTCTTAGTATTGAGAAGGCTCCTGGTGAAGGGTCCCAGGTACAAAAGGACATCGTCCCCTCCTGACCATAATTTCTGGGTAGTTCTGAGGGCCCCCCCTTGGCTTACTTTTCTCCCTAGTGAGGTATCATATCATTTGGGATCATTGCATGCATTTGAGGGGACACAATTCAGTTCACAACAGGGGTGGAATAACTCGGAAACAGATATTGATGGCTTTTTAATATGATGAACACAATCAGTGTCAACTGTACATGTAATGGTGTTGAACAGGCCAATGGTTTGTTACACATATTTCCACGATACTTTTCAAAAAGTTCAAATGAGAAGGAATAACAATCTAAAGCTGTCCCTTCAATTCCCCTAAAAAAAGTATATGTGTTGACGGAATCCTGATGGACGTGGCCGAGACTGGAAGGTGCCTCAGTCACCAGGACACAAAAAGCATCACTTCTCTATGTTCTAAGGACCCACACACGTCATCTTCAAGGTGAAGTTGCCAGGACAGGTGATACCTGCCAGTGGGACCAGGGCTATTCTTCCTGAGAAAGTGTCTGGAGTAAACTAACACCAGGGCCCATCAACCCTTAACAAGGGTGCACGCCTCCTCTGGAGTGCTCCTGCCTCCCTCACAGGAGTTCTGGTGGCTTTGACCTTCAGACAAGAAAGCAGAAGGGGAGGCCCCACACCACAACACACCAAACCAAAGAGCCACAGACTCCCAATTACCTAGGATGGATGTGGGGGTGTCTGGAGCCCCACAGCCAGGATGCCATCCTACAGGCAAGCAGGCTTTTTGTTATGCTAATGGCACTGTCTTAACTGGGGCAATGTGGATAGGTATGTCAGGGTCAGTGAGGCTGGCTCAGGACAAGGCAGGCTTCAGAGCTGCTGGACATAGGGGTCAGTATGAGTTGCAGGCAACTCGATGGCACAGAACAACAACAATGACACTGTAACAGGAGATGAACTGTACTAGGAAAGTTTGGGGACCTCTGCAAGTTACTGACAATTAATGATGCTAATGTGAGATTAAGGTGTGCTTAATTCAGGTCATGGTCCTTCCAATCACTTGCAGTGTATCTGAGAGCCAGACAATGAGTAAGGTTAATAGAAGAATTGATGCCTCTGCGCTGTGGCGCTGGAGAAGAGCATCCTCTGGACTGCCAGAAGAACAGAAGGATATCTCGAAGCAGGTGCAGCCAGACTGCTCTTTGGAAGCAAGGATTTTGAAGCTTCATCTTACATGCTTTGGGCACATTGCTACGAGAGGGAATTGCTTGAAGAAGGGACATCATGCTTCGGAAGGTGGAGGGACAGCAACGGAGAGGAAGACCCTCAACCAGGTGGACAGCAGCAATGGGTTTGCGTGTGTCAGAAGGTGTGGGGACGGCACAGGCTAGGGCAGGATTCAGATGTGTTGTTCGTAGGACTGCTCTGAGTCATATATCACGGCAACTAATAACAACAGTGACACTCGATGGTTCAGGGATCTCTAGTGGCTTAGTAGTAAATACCACCAATCCAAAGGTACATGGTTCAAATCCATTGGAGAAAGATAGGAACTCTCCTCTTGTGTAATTCATTGCCTCTGAACACCAGCGTGTCAACCACTAAGTAGTTCCAGCTTGATAGTATATAAAAACAGTAACAACAGTGAATGACACCGTTTGGGAACTGGGTGAGTTCCACATCTATTACTTCAGAGTCATAAGGAGAGTACGACTGGACCAATTGGCAGCATCAGAATGGATGGTGAAGAGATTGAGATAGTTAACAGTTTTAGTTTACTTGGCTCCACAGTCAGCACTCTTGGTAACAGCAGCCAGGAAATCAGCAGACGAATTGCATTGAGAAAGTCAGCTGTGAGGGACCTCTCAAGAGTACTGAAGAGCAATAACGTCAGGCTGGAGACTAAGGTGCGCCTGATCCAGGCTATAGTCTTCACAATTACGTGCTATGCATCAGAGAGTTGGACAGGAACAGGGTTGATAGAAAGAGAATTGATGTCTTTGAGCTGTGGTGCTGGAGAAGAGTGTTGAATATACCATGGACTGCTAGGAGAACAAACAGGTTTGTCCTGGAGAAGGTGAAGCCAGAATGTTCCCTGGAGTCAAGGATTCTGAAGCTTCGTCTGACATACTTTGGGCATGTTGCAAGGAGGGATTGGTCCTTGGAGAGGGACATCATGTTTGGGAGAGTGGAGGGACGGCGCAGGAGAGGAAGACCTTTTATGAGATGGATCGATTCTGTGAGTGGAGTGGTAGGAATGAGTGTGTTTGAGACGGCGAGGTTGGCACAGGATAGAAAGGCGTTTAGGGCTCTTGTACATGGGGTCGCTATGAGTCGCAGCAACTCGATGGCACATAACAAGGAGAGCAGAGATGGGCACACAGAGCTAACTGGGCTAGGGCTAGAGCTGCCACGTGAATACTTTCAGGGACGTGAGGAATGCTGGGGAAGGGCCTTCCTCCAGTGGAGGCCTTTCACCTGGGAGTCTTGAGTCCAGACTTCCAGCTTCCTCAGTTGTGAGAAACCAAATTTCTGTTCTTCAAAATGCCACCCACAGTGGTCTGGCGGGAGCAGCCTTAGGAAATGAACACACCCAGGAAATGCAGCAGTGGCTGCACGCTGCTCAGACATCCTGGTCAGAGCATGAAGGAGGAAGCAGAGTCCAGAGAGGGGTCCACTCTGCCCAGGAGGGGTCTGCAGCCTGTCATCCTGGGCTGCAGGAGGCCAGGACCATGGGCTGCCCAGCATGTGCCCCCACCAAGCAGGGGCCCCTTACCCAGAAGAGCTGTGTTGTCCATGAGCATCCTGCCTTTCTCAGCCGCCTCCTCACTGTACACGTCCCCGACCAGCAGCAGCTTGATGGCCTCCTGCTTCACGCCATCGAAGAAGTTGGACTGGATGGTGCGTGACACGGAGCGGGCCCCATCCTTGAGCTTGCCCACCTGCGGGACGCGAGGCCATAAGCAGATCTCCCAGGGCCCTGCCACCGCCCCCAGGCCCCCCTGTCGGACCCCAGCGCTCTACCTTGGCCTTGCCTTCCAGGGCCCGGCTGCCTGTGAACACTTTGCTCAGGCTGTGCCCGTTGAGGGACCACATGGCTTTGAAGGCCTCCACGAAGCGGTCAGCGATAGGCTTGGAATGCAGCCCCAGGCTCTCGAGCTGCAGGTGGAGGACCTGGGACAGAGGGACAGGCTCACTGGGTCGTACATGCCGCTGGCCACCCTGGCCTTGGGTCAGCACCACGGGGTCACCCCAACACTTCATTTCACACGCAGAAGCCTACTCGGGGCCTTGGAGGCTGCCCGACCCGGAGAGGAGGATCTGGATGCAGACAAAGTTCCTCCACGGATCATTTAACTTTCTTCACTGGGCCCACCTGGGATTCCTGACCCCACCATGACCACTACAGGAGACCTGGACAGCCAGCTGACCACCCCTCATCTATGAGATGAGACAGGAGAGCCTGACCATTCCATGCAATCCTATTCCCCGTTCCAACTCCTTCAACTTTTTTATTGTGATTTGAAACTTCACAAAGTTATGTTGTTTTTTTATTCAAACATTGTGGTTTATGACATTTATGCCAATGCTCATGAGGTAACCGCACTCCTCCCATCTCCTCATTGTTCTCATTTCCACTAAACCTTCCCGCCTTCTGGGGTTTATCATGGGGCGAATGGAGCTCTTTTACCTCAGTGGTTCATTATTCTAAGGGGTGAGTGTTTCCCTGGTGTTATTGTCCACCTTATGCTGTCATTGTGTGTCATCAAGTCAGAAGGAACCCACAGCTGACACTCCAGGGGGTTTTCAAAGGCGGTTCCTCCACAGGGGTGGCCTATCCTCCTCCTATGAGCAGCTGTGCTAACCTTACACGTCGGTCATTCGGCTGGAGGTTGATCTCTTGGGGAGTTTTGTTCAGGGCTTAAAGGGTGACTAAGGGAGCTCTGGTGGACTGGTGGTTAGAAGCCTTGCTACAATCCCAAAGGTATGCAGTTCAAATCCACCAGCTGCTCAGTGAGAGAAAGATAGGCCATCTCCATGTGATTACCTGCCTCTGAAAACCCTCCAGAGGGTCAGCTAGAAGCTGGTTCTGACTCAATGGTCTATAAGAACCACCACCAGGGCCACCACGCGGGGGCTCCGCCCGTCTGCACCGGACCCGTGAGCGTGGCCAGCTTCATGTTTTCATGGTGGTTTTCACTTCCCCCCCGCTGCGTGCAGGACTCTGACAGTGACCCCGTTCGGCTGCATAGGGTCTCAGCCAGCCACCCCCTCCCTGGGTCAGAGCTGGCACTGTAACACCCCCACAATGTTGGGGCGTGAGGCCGGCGTGGTGCCAGGGTGCGGACACTGACCTCAAGGGCGATGAAGCACTGCACCGTGTTGGTCCGGTCCAGGCAGTCGAGACAGTTCATGCGCAGAGTGCCCTTCTGAAAGCTAGGACGATGGGGACAGACCAGGGTCGCAAAGTGTCCCACGGGGCAGCGTGGGGCACAATACACACCTAACTACAGACCCCAGGAGATGGGCACCGAGAGCAGCCCTCCCTTGTTTCACCAGACGCCATCACCATGTGGCCAACAGCCCAGGAACGCTGGGAAGTGGCAGATCCAACCCCAGACTCAGTTACGGCACATGGTCCTTGCTTTCTCCTCAGCTCTGAGGGAACAGACCTGTCCCCGTCCTCACAGGACCTTCTCAGCTCTGAGGGAACAGACCTTTCCCCGTCCTCACAGGGCCATCCCAGCTGAACAGGTATCCCTCCTCTGGGCCCCCTTGGAGACCTGAATTACCAGGTGTCCCAGGACCATGGTGAGGACCCTCCTTTGCCTGTTGTCCTGAGCCCCCCTGGCTTCACATCAGGTGCTATGAATGGAAACATGTTTGGCTATAAAGGCATGTTTCTGATCACAGGAGGGGAAAGAGGCAGGTGGACCCGACGTACTGAGCATCTCAGAGCTGTGGCCGAGTGTCCAGGAGAGAAGAGGACTCACACTGCGCCCAGCGCAACCCTGCCCCTGTGCCCCCTCGGCCAAGAGGACGCCGGGGCCCTGCAGGACACTCACCGCGGGCTCACATTCTCGCCCCTGGCGAACACGTCGAACTCGTCCCAGTGCAGCTTCAGCTGGGGTCTCAGCAGACTCTCCAACTTCTCGAGCTTCCCGCCTTTGGCAAATTGGTGGAAGTCAAAATTGATCATAGGGGTGTCTCCGTGGCAAGAAGCCCAGAGCAACTTCTGCAAAGGGGCGGGGAAGAGAAGGAGGAAGCTGAAGGCCCGCCCTGTCTCATAGCACCCCAGTCAGCCCTCGGTGCATCGGGTCCCTAAGGGGATGCTTGGAGCAGCCGCCTGAGGGCCAGACTTACAAAGAGCCCCTTGCCTGCAAAGTGGCAGCGGGTTCACCCTGGGCAGAGGCACACCAAGGAGGGGGAACATCACACCCTGCCTGGCTCTCAGGGGACACGGGTGGGAGCTTGCTCTATTCTCACCCCCCCACCCCCTCCAGTGCCACAGAGCCAGCACAGCAGTGTCACCGCAGGCCGGGGAGCTCATAATCCAGCTCACAGTTGCCCTGGAAACCTGAGTGAAGCACATGTGTCTGGTGGATGTGGCCAGGCTGGGGCCTGTGGGCAGCTGCAGGATGTGTGACGAGGGGAAGAGGTGGGGGATAGAGTCCCTGCGGTCAGCCTCCCCCAGGCCCAGCGCATGAGCAGAAGGTGCACGAGAGATGGTGGATTCCAGGGCGTGGTCACTCAGCTCCACGTCCCTGTCCACGGCTGGTCCCGCAGCTCTTCAACCTCCTCTCCAGACAATTTCAGGATCAAGGACAAAAGAGCTGCCTCCACCCACCACCGGCCTCAAACCCCCCCCCCCCCCCCTCCCGCCTCATCCTGTACCGCACGCCACTTAGTCCAGTGTCTGTGCAGCCAGGGGTACTAATAACCTTTACAGACTGAAAGGACTGTAGGTCAGCCAACCTGACCTTCCTCCCAGGCCTATCCACAACCTGCCAGAATGGAAATCAGCAAAGGGCTTACTTCACCAACAGGCCAGCCTGAAGAAGTTGGCTGAGATGAGTCATAGCTCCCTGACACTCTGAGTGGGCACTTTATGGAGAAAACTGGGCACAGCTGGGCCAGGGACCCCATGCCAGTATCCCTGACACAGTAAAAAACATTACTATGTCATCTGTCACAGGAACTCTAGGCTTCATGTGATGACCCTACCACGTGGAGGCAGGTGCTCTGAGCTCTGACTCCACATCCTTGAGTTAAATGTGCCCCCTCTCCCTCCCTCCACCTGAGGACTGGAGGCCACAACCATCTCCCACCACCACCCCCATTACGAGAGGGTCTCAGTCCCTAGGAGCATGTCCACTCATTTTGGCAGCTGGGCTCAAGCATCTCTTCCCATAATCAAGGCACAGGGGTGCCAGCAACTCGAGTTCCTCTTTCACTTAAATAAACGATACTTTAGTTCTAGACTCTGTTACAGATCCGGGTTTCTTAGCACTACTGTTCTTTCGCTTTTATTTTTTTGCTTCCTCTCTGTCTCCCCTTAACATAAGAAGGCAGCATCATCACCAAGATGAGGAGAGGGGAAATATTTGTGAGCTTGTTGCTAATAGCAACAGCCCAGACAGAAAAAGCGGGGCTGGCCAAGCAAAACCTGCAACCAGAGGCTGTGCAGAGGCTTTCTAAAGCAAGTGAGATAAGTGCTCAGCTGCCTGGGTCCAGGAGGTCTGCATACAGGACTTTGTAACACTTTAGTGAACTATGTAACACTTGTCTTTGCAACACTGGCCTGCCAGCAAGTTCTTCCCACAAGGGGCTGGCCCTATGCATTTCAAACAACCCTAGGAAGCCCTAAGAAACCCAAGCCGGTTAGTGGTGGGTGCAGGTAATTTCTGACTATGGCTCTTTGTGGGATGAGGTGCTGTCCTGTTGGTACTGACAGTGACCTCATGCACAAGAGAGCAGCCCCTTGACCAGTCCTGGGGCAGTCTCACAATCTCTGTGATCCAGCCCAATGCTGCAGTTACCGCATCCATCCACCTCTTTGAGGGTCTCCCTCTTTTTTGCTGGCTTCCTTCTTAAAAAAAAAAACCAACCAAACTATACACTATTTATTCTTTTTTTAAATGAAAGTTTACAGAGATTGAGGGTTTCCATTCATTCATTGTTGCACTTGACTTGCTACTTTTCTAAGCATGATGTCCTCCTCCCGGGCCTGGCCCCTCCTGGCGATGTGTCCAGACCATGTGAGAAGAGGTTTCACCATCCTTGCCTCTGAGGGGAACTCTGGATTTTCTTCTTCTTCCAGCCATAATCCCACATTTTGTAATGTGTTGTAAATTCTAACCTCTATCCTTTCTGCAGGCTACGTGGCCAGGAGGGACCAGAACTTGAAGACAGACATCGTGCTTGGAAAGGAGGAGGGACAGCGCAGGGGAGAGAGAGACCCTAGATAAGATAGACTGACTGACACAGTAACTGGGGTACCGGGGTGGTTGTGTCAGAGATAGTGGGGCTGGCTCGGATAGGGCAGGGCTCAGAGCTGCTGTATTCAAGGTCACTATGTGTCACAAGCAACTCGACGGCCCCTAACAACAGCATGCCATGACGGCCAAGAGGACAAACAGGTCTGTCCTGGAGCACATGCACCAGGCTGCTCCCGGGAGGCAAGGACTTGAGACTCGGCCTGACAGACTTTGTGCATGTTGTCAAGAGGGGCCAGCCTTAGAAAGGTCAGCAGAGGAGAGGAAGACCTTGAATGAGATAGACTGACACAGTGACTGTAGACTGGGCTTGAATGTGTCAGAGATGGCACAAGACAGGACAGGGTTCAGATCCACTCTTCACAGGGTCGATATGAGTCATACTCGACTCAACGGCACCTACCAACAACAACTACCACTAAGAAAAAGAGGGGAGGAGAGTACGACCTTTGGATCTGAGGACCCTGCAAGGAAATCCCTAGATCCAGGAGACAGGGATGTTTTACACTGGAGACAGTGAGAGATGGTGAGAAGCCACAACAGAGGCAGGCCCAGGAGAGACGCTAGAGCTGGTGCGGTGGGCTTTCTCATCCACAGAGTGAGAAATGGAGTGGCTTGGTGGGGTGCCTGCAGGGACCCACAGAACTGATGAGGAATGCCTTTGGATCAAGGCTGAGCAGCGGAGTAGACGCCCCTCCCCCCAACTCAGCTATGAAGGTGTGGACTGCCCCCATCAGCTGTGGTGTGGCCACCCCTCCCCCTGACTCAGCTGTGATGGTGTGGACACCCCTCCCCCTGACTCAGCTGTGATGGTGTGGACACCCCTCCCGACTGCCCCCATCAGCTGTGGTTGTGGGTGTCCCCCTTACTCAGCACTGCCCCCGCCGCAGCTGTGGTGTGGATGCCACTCCCCCTAATGCCCCTCCCCATCATTACTCAGTCATGGTCAAGGACGCCCACCCTCACCCCCACCGTGGTGGGAGATGCCCGTCCTCACCTTTTACCCCTCAGCTCAGCTGTGGTTGTTGATACCCCTCCCCACTCCTCCCCCACTCAGCTGTAGTCATGGATGCCCCTCCCCCCCCGCCCATGGTGGGCAGCAGCAGTAGGCATGGGGCAGACGGAGGGACAGATGGACGCTACCTTGTAGGCCCTGTTGAGCACCTCCTCTCCGCCGCGGCTCCCCAGCAGGTTCACGACCACTTGCTTCCCATACTGCTCCTTCAGAAGCACCATATGCCTGCGGACGTAGGACCACACTGGCATGTCACCAGGCTCCACGCTGACCGTCCACCTCACCCCCAGGGAGTGGGACCCAGGACGGCCATTCCCCAGACCCAGGAGGAGCAGAGGGGATGAGTGGGGGGCAGGGCGCAGACACCAGCCTCAACCAGCCCCACAGTGGGCTCAAGCACCTCTAAGGAAGTCTGATTACAGACAGGGCTGAAGGTCCCCAGCAGAGCAGATGAGCTGAACCTTGTATAAAGTGCCACCATCGCAGCTCAAAAGCCACTGGTAAGTATATTCGTTTTCTCCTGGACACAGAGCCTACTAATTGGTCCTAAAAGCCTTCTGAGGTCCCAACTCTTCTCACTATTTCGTAGTTGTTGGAATGGACGGAAAACCTCATAAGCAGTTCCTTACTTCACCTCTGCCTTGCATGTGAACTTCCTAGTTGTAAAA